ATTTGAAATGCTATCAAATTTACATTTTAAAAGATCTTATTATATTAAGATAAAGTTGCTCTCTTGAGAAAATTCATTATAAAAGTAAGTTTTTTATATATTTAAAGTCAATTAATTACGCTATTTACATGAAGAATGAAGTTTAAAGCAAGCTAAATATATATATTTTTTTAATTTAAAAAATCATAACTCACTCATTTTTCAAAAATATGATTTCCAAAATATTTCAAAGAAAAACAATAAAAATTGTACTAAGCAGATTTTTATTTTTCTCTTTAATTTTGTTAAATATTTAAATATAAAACTTACTGAGATGATGGATGCATTTTAAAATAAACATTTAAATAGGAAAAATATGCAATAAGAAACTGAAGTTTTACTTTCTATCAACTAAACTTAAAAAATAAATAAGATAAACTGAAACTAATCATGATATTTTGCTTTATTATATGAAACAGCTTTAAAAGTCTAGAAATATATATTCTTTAACAAGTAATGCAAAAATAGAATGGCCAAGAAATAAATATAATAGAACAAAAAATAAATTTGTTATCACTAATATATTTTTCTCAAAGATTCCGAAAGAGGAGAGCGTCTGCTTCTGGTTGCTAATGGCAACCAGAACTGACCTAACCGCACCGATCGTTCCTAAATTACGGTGTGAACTGAGATCACGTGAGTAGTTCGCTTTCGTGTAACCAGTGTCACCGGTGCGAATATTGGAACGCAACCCAAATTCTGCTTTAAAAAAAACAGGGATTAGCGCTTTTCGCTTCCATAGAAGGATCAGACTTTTTGCATCAATTCTGCATTCAAACTTACTACGCCATCTTTATGAATCGAAAAAAGTGTGTATGGGCAAAATTAATTCCTACAAGAGTACTTTAATAAAAAAAATATTAGGAATGTCTGCTTCTAAAAAGATTACTTTTTCTTTTCACTGAAGTATTATTATCGACTGTTGCAAGTTATATCTTTAGAATTCGTTCGTATTATTTGATATTTGCTAAATATTGTTTGTAGAAAAAGATTCTTTAAAGTTTAAAAAGTTTAAATCGAACATACAATTTTACTAAGGGGGTTGATCTCCAGCTGCATAATTAGGTATATTCTGGCTGGCAATCCTGCAATCACAATATGGCATTGGCATGTGGTGATTTTCACCCTTCTGCCTAATTATTGTAGATGTATTCTTTAATAATTTAATCAATAACAATTTGAAATTCGCACAATCAGCATCGTAATCATGTCGGTTACAGATGATGCTAAAAATAAAGCTGAAGAACTGAAAGAAAAAGCAAATGTTTATTTTAAAAGTAAGTAAACCATGCCGGTAATAGCACCGGTTGTCTCAGCAATTATGTATTAGCAAAATTCAAGCCATGTTTTCACTCCTTTCAAATTATGACTTTACTAATAGTTCATGATTCATGCTTTTCTTCGATCGTATCCCATTTTATTGCAAAACATCAATGTCTTATCTAGCTAATCATGTTATTTATTCCTTCATTGCTAATTGGTGTACATGAGATGTTTTATATATGATATATAGGAATATTTTCTGTCACTTTCAATAATTAAAGTGATTCAATGTATATTTGGATCCTCTTTCAGTTTCAAATTTTACCTTTAACTAATTATTTATAATTTAACCAATCAACAAGCTTATTTTGTAGTTACCTTAATGCTGGTGTCAAGCTAATTAATCTATTTTGTTGTTGAATAGTTTTTCATTGTTATTTGACATTAAGGTAAATTGTCTATCTCCAGTTTTAATATATTCAAAAGATGTTCTGCAACATATACTATTTACACTTAATTTTGTTAACTAATTAATTAAATCATTACTAGTCAAAGTTGTTATGTAACATAGCCATTAAATAAAGATAGTTATTAATAGTTTGTTTCAGATTCTATTGGCATTGTTTGTGTAATTTCTGACTTTTGTTTTATTAAATCAATTCAAACAATGTATTAAGTGTATTTTAAAAATTAGATTTGAATTAAGTTAATAAATTGATTTTCCACTATTTAATTTCAAGTTATAGTCTTTCAGTTACTGAAAATAAAACTTTTCCGTTTTGCCAGCCACAGTAATTTTACCTATTTTTTGAAAAAATAGCTGTCATCTTAAAAATAAAATCAATTTACTTGTGTCGGTTAACTTTGTATTAGCGAGTTTATTGCTTGTGTCAACAAACTGACAAAGTATCCTGTAAATCAGGGACACACAGCCAGATTCAGGCTGGGGGCCACAATAACTACAAAATATAGTATTTGAAACCAACATTAGCATAGTGCTATAATTACAAAAATGTGTATAATATTTAGATTCTGTTCTAAAGTAAATATGTTTTACAAATTTATAAGTAATTAAATATAAGCGTAATTACATAAAAATAGTTATAGGTAATAATAATAATGTAAACAAATAAACTTATTAAATTGAAAAGCAAATTATTATATATTTATTAGCAAACAACAACAAAGCAAACATGAATTTATATACATTTATCCTAAAAGTTAGCTTTAACTGTTCAAAAAACAAATTTCTTTCTTACACAGCATTAGATTGAGATGACTTGCTAGAATTTTGAAACATATATATATATATTTTCATATTTTGATACTTGATATTNGAAAAGCCCAATAGAACCCAGAAAAGCCCAATAAAACCCAGAAAAACCCACCCGGGTTGGGTTTTTCTACAAAAACCCGGGTTTTTTGCAACCCTGTTAGAAACCAACATTAGCATAGTGCTATAATTATAAAAATGTGTTTAATATTTAGATTCTGTTTTAAAGTAAATATGTTTTACAAATTAATAAGTAATTAAATATAAGGGTAATAAAATTAAAATGATTATGTATTGGTAGTAATAATAATGTAAACAAATATACTTATTAAATTTAAAAGCAAATTATTATACATTTATTAGCAAACAACAACAAAGCAAACATGAATTTATATACATTTATCCTAAAAGTTAGCTTTAACTGTTCAAAAAACAAATTTCTTTCTTACACAGCATTAGATTGAGATGACTTGCTAGAATTTTGAAACATATATATATATATTTTCATATTTTGATACTTGATATTTAAAGAATAGTTGCAAAAAAGAATCATAAATTTCTGTTACAGATGAAGGCAGGAAAAATCATATTTTTATTAATAATTTGAATAGTTTAGGGATAAAATTAAAAGGTTTTGGAGGCCACTTTTGGCCTGTGGGCCATAGGTTCTGCATCCTAGTTGTAAATATTGAACTGCTCTGGTTAAGCCTTAATTGAAGCTGCTGAAAATTATCTTATGTGACTAATTTTGAAAATCATCAATGATATTATTTTAATTTTATCTTCTAATTAATCGTTTATGTAATTATTAATCACAATTTTTATATCGATAAAAAGTTATTGTCATATTTAATGTTCTTGATTAGTTTCAACCTGAGTAAGTTTGTATGTACTTTTTCTTAGTTTAATAAATTGACCTTATTTTTTAGATAAAGATTTTGATAAAGCAATCGAAACCTATTCTGAAGCAATTCAGCATAACCCAAATGTAGCAGTATATTATGGAAATCGCAGTTTTGCATACCTTAAAACTGAATGTTTTGGTTATGCCCTTACAGATGCTTCAAAAGCTATTGAATTAGATTCTTCCTATGTTAAGGTATCTTCATAAGTTTTCCTATTGATTTAGTTTCTTTAAATAAAAATGTTTTCCGTAAATATGTTTTATGTTTAAATTACAAAAAAATATATATTTTCCATTTGCTTAAATCAGGATGGTTAAATATAATTTAATATCTTTATGGATGGAATACGTTTTAATTACATGAAATAAGTAGTTAAATTGTACCATGATTATATGTTTGAAAATATCCATTTTTCTTTATTATATATGGTACAGAACCCGTTATCCGGAAATCAGAAAACCGGAACAAAATTCGATAAATATTCTCGCCATTTTTTTTAAAAAAAAATTTTTTTCCTCATAAAATTTTACGATTTTTCTTTCTTTTTTTAAAGATGTTTACCTTACCATCATTTTGAAAAGTATCGTTAGTGTATTACTTCATCGTTTTATCTTCTTTTTAAGATTATTTCCAATTTTTTTTTTAGTTGAGTTTAACAATAAAAAAACTGCTTTTTGTAGCGATTCAGAAAACCGGAAAAATCAGTTATCCGGAATAGCGATGATCCCGACCGTTCCAGATAATCGGTTCACTACTGTATAATTAAATTTTGACTTGTTTTCCCTGGTATACTTAATTTGTTTGTTAAATATTTATACCCTAAGAATAGCTTCCTTTTATTGACTAAGCTCGAAGAAAATTGAATTTTTGTAAGTTATTTCCAGTCTGTTAAATGATTGTCAGTTCCCTCATAAATGTTTGAAAATTTTTCTTCACACCCTAAATGAAAAATTGATGGTGAAAATATCAACAGGATTTGCACAATTAAAAGAAAACACTTTCATAACTGAGAGATTTAACAACACTCCGATTCTCAAACACATGGGGATTCATCATGTAAGCAAAACATTGAGTTATGATGTAACGAGGAAAGATAACAATCATTGCCGCAACTACCTCTGTACACTTACGGAGGAGAATGCTCTTCTTGCGAACTTGCAGACATCGATGTGCTATCAGGAACACTGTTCAATATTGCGTGTGTAATCATGGATGTCAAAGACTCGTCGGAAAACATTGTACACATTTTAGTATGTCGCAATTTTCGATGGTGCGAAAAATCGCCAATCCAAACATTGGATCGGCGATGATTGTATACCATCGATATTTTCCGATGCATCGATGTATCACCCAATCCTAATTAAAACTAAAGTAATTTTATAATATATTGAAAGAATTGGATTTACAAAATCATTTATATATTTTAACATGGATTTAAAATCATTGCTATTACAATTACATGCATATTTCATTTATATAAAATTAATATGAAATAGATAACTAAAATATTTTAGGGTATTATTTATGTTCTTATCACTTAATTAACAATGGGATAATACCAACCCTGGTCCAAATGTTTGTTAATTACGTTAATCTTGTGACTCATTGTGTAAGATAGGTTACTATTTGAGGCTACTTCCTGTTCTAAGAATTCCATTGTTCATTTTGCTATTAAATAATTTTAAGGTTTTTTTCTCTTTTTTTAGTATAGCTTAACAGTATAGCCTGTATCACTGTTATAAATATAAAAAAGCTTTAACTGAAAAAACCTGTTTAAAAACCTTGCTTCCAGAATTAGAATCTGCCAAGTTGTATGCTACTCTTAGAGTTAAAAAAAAAAGCCCCATTAAAATTTCAGTTCATTTACTTTAAACCTAGCAAAATCTTCCCAGTTATTGTATATTCATGGTGTAATATTTAGGCTGTCCACCTTCTTCAAGAGAGGTCCAGAGTTCGAATAATAGCTGAGACAGTTGATTTTCATCTCTAATTTTCTTTTCTGAAAAAGATTGATGACTATTTAGTGTGTTTTATTCAATTTATAAATTATCATTTTTCAATTTGAATTAATTTTTTCAATTTTTAAAAGCAGAAAAATGAGTAGAATTTTATTTATTTTATTTTTTAATTAAAATGTATGGAACAATAACAAAATCTTAAATTATAAATTTTTTAAATTATCCATGTACTTTAGTTAAAATATAAAATTTCTATCATTTTTAAAAATTTACAAAATTTTTATACAAGTTTAAAATTACAAATTTTTTTCAAAATTATCTATTTATTTTTTATATTTTTAGAAAAAAAAGTACTTTAAATTAACAAATTATAAATTGAAAAAAAAAAAAAACATATTAAAAAGTCGCCAACATTTTTTAGAAAAGAAAATTAGAGATAAAATTCAATCCTCTCAGCTGGGATTTGAACTCCGTACCTCTCTGGTAAAAGGCGAACAGCCTAACCGTTTCACTATGAATACACATCAGCTAGATAGTTTTTGCTCGTTGAATGTAAATGAACTGAAACATTATTGGGCAGATTTTACCCTTTAGGCAGCTTAGGCAACTAATATATACCCTATCCAAGGTTTTGAAACATGTTTTTTAATTTCTGCTAAACTTTGTTTTAATAGAAATGTTCGAGATGCATACTTTCCTTGTAACGATAAAAAAAAATTTTTTTTTGTTACTATAGTGTATTTCAAGTTATCGTTAGATATTGACTGTATGTTTCTCCATTTCAATCTTAAAATGTTATATAATTTTCAGTTTATATCACATATGCTTAAAAATTTAAATTTTTCTATTTATTTATTTTTTTAATTAGGGCTATTACAGAAGAGCTGCTGCATATATGTCCCTTGGGAAATTCAAGGAGGCTTTGAAGGATTTCAAAGCTGTAAGTTAAGAAACATTTTCATTGTTATGTTGATAATACTATGGCCTGAAACATAAAAATAGAGGATATGGGAATGTACTGTACCAAAGAAATAGTTTTAAAAATGAATAACACTCATTAAATTTGTTATTAACACCTTATGGTATTTTTACGTGTAAAGAAAAATAAGTCTCTTTCAAATTTTAATTATAAATTCATTTATATTTTTTTATTTCATGTCTTTAACCATTTTCTCTTGATTCTTGTTTTTTTTTTGTTTTTTTTTTACTGAGATGTTATTTCTTAATTTTATTTTATTTATAAATGTGGCAATTTGTTAAAAAGAGGGACTGTATTTTTATAGAGAGGACAACTTGCTTGCTTTGTGAGTTTAAGTTTTAATGTATGGTTCTTGGATAAGTAAATATCATTTAAAGTTATTTTGCCTACCTCTATGTAGATATAATTCCAAAAATCGTATAAATCTCCACTTTCTTTCAGTGACCTCGTTGTGAGCCTCTTAAATGTTAACATCAACTAAATTTTTTTGTAAATGTTGGTGTTAAGCTATATACCACTATATGAAATATTTTTCAGAAATTGGAACATTTGGTATCCCTGTTTTTATGTTATCTTTGCCTGTGTCAGAAACATTGTCTTAACTTATTTTGGAATTTTGATCCTTCATGTGATATTTAATTGTGTTGAAATTTTTGTTGATAAAATAAGTTAATATATAGAGTACAAAACAAATGATTTCAAAGTGTGCTTTATGGTTTAAATCTTATCCTGGAATTCCACGTACGTCAAATATTATACATTAAAATTCTTTGTCCATAAATAATAAGAAAATTTGACTATTTTTTAACATTTTTTGCTCAAAAATTTTATTTACACTGTTTTACTGTGTAATGTTTCTAAACACTTTTTATATAATTGTGTGCTAGTGCAGCATTGCAATATGGCCTACAGATGTACAGTTTCATAATTCATAAATATAAACAAGACTTATTGTTTTCTGGGTTCTTTGTATCAACCTTCTGGGTCTGAAAAATTGGAGCAGGGCATGCGATTTTTTTCGAAAATTTCGAGGAATTGTGTGTAAAGATCATTGGTCCTGAAATCAAATCTCATTTCTAATATATGTATGTATTCTAATATGTATGTTTAATAATAATTCATAGTTCAATTCTGTCAACCATGATATAAATTTCTCTAAAATATGAATTTTTACAGCCTTGGCTTAATTTCTATGCTTTGTTATTTAATAGATAATGTGGTGGTATATATACCTTATTATAATGAATAATCTTTTTTAAAGGTAACCACTGCAAGGCCAAATGATAAAGATGCAAAAACTAAATTCTTAGAATGTTCTAAAATAGTAAAAAGAAAAGCATTTGAAAATGCTATTTCTGTGGAAGAAACCAAAAAATCTGTTGCTGACTCTTTGAATTTAGAAACGATGAGTAAGTGTGTTCCCCTCTAGTTTATATGTTTAATTTTGTCTATTTAAACATAGATGACAAATTACTTTTCCTTTCATTATTTAGCGCAACTGATCTTCCAATTTTTTTGTCATTCTCTTTATTTTAAATATTTATATTTTTGCTTATGCAATCAAAGGTTCTGTAATATAATGTTCAAGTACAGTACAGAACCCGTTATCCGGAAATCAGAAAACCAAAAAACCGGAACGTAATTCGATAAATTTTCCCACCATTTAAAAAAAAAACATATTTTTTTTTTTCCTTATAAGATTTTAGGATTTTTCTTTCTTTTTGGAAAGATGTTTACCTTACTATCATTTTGGAAATAATCATTAATGTATTACTTCGTTTTTTCTTCTTTTTAAGATTATTTCCAAATATTACTTTTTTTTAGTTGGGTTTAACAATAAAAAAAACGGCTTTTTGTAGCGATTCAGAAAACCGAAAAAATCAGTTATCCGGAATAGCGATGGTCCCGATCGTTCCGGATAATCTGTTCCCTACTGTATAAATAAACTCTATACTCTTGCTTTTTACATGAATGTGTTGAAATTAGCTTAAAAAATTTTTGCATTATTTAAGGGGAAAAAAATTCTGTGACACTAATAATATTATGGAAATATTCTACAAATTGCGTAATATTTAAAAAGAGGAATGATGTATTTCTTATAAAATGTGTGAATTTAAAATTTGTTTCTATATCTTAATATTTTTGGAAAATAGCTCTAAGATTTTTTTAATAAGTTTGAAAGAAATTTCGATTTTTTTTTTTAAAAACAGTATCTGTGGAAGATAATAAAAAATCAGTTGCCGAGACTTTAAATTTAGAATGTATGAGTAAGTTTATTACTGTTGTTAGATTAAAGAGTCTTACTATGGGAGAAATGAAGGGACCTTGTCTTTTTCTTCATTGAACAAATAAATAATGGTTTTAAACAATATTAGTTAAATTTGTTATTTATCAAACATTAATTTAGTTTTTTTTATTCACATAAATAGATGCAAAACCTACTAGCTGCTCTTAAAACATAACATGCTAAATGTGTTGAGTAGAATTTTAAAATACAAACAAGTGTGTGTTCATATTTAAGTTGAGAAAAGGCATAATTCATTATGTTTTTGCTTTTAAACAAAAGTCCCATTAACATTCTTTGCACCTAGTATATTCATATCCACATTAAAAATTGCTTATTTAATTTTAAATTGCCTTACTTGTATTGCTAATATTTTGTTAATATTATTCAATAAAATGTAGTTTTCATCCAATAGTTTATAGTACTGTTTGTTTATGTTAATTTTTATGAATAATTTTATTACAAGCTGTGTTAAAATTTGTTGCATTATTTATTTCAAAGATAGCTAGCATATCACATTACCTGGTGTGAAGGACAAGAGGGGCTTTTTCTTTTATTAAAGCAGGTGGTTAAAAAAAAAACTTTTCGTGCACAAATAAAATAAAAAGGCAATGTTTTTAAAGGAGGGTTGCTTATTTTTAAAAAAAAGTCCAAGGAAGGCACATTTATATGGGTCAAAGGGCATGCTGCCTTTCTAAAAATACTTACATAGAACATTGGATATGTGTTCATTTACAGGTGTGTGATATATTTTGCTTGCTTTAACTATATTAATGCGATATTAAAAAGCACACTCTCTGCTGATATATAAACTGATGACAAAACTATATATTTTCATTGTTAAATAATTTAATTTTATTTGTGTTTTTTAATTTTCTACTTTTTTAAAATGCTTTTTTCTTTTCTTTGTTTTATATACTTTTATAAATGGTAGAGTGCACCTAACAATTCAGAATGATAAATCACATAATAATGCAATCCTAACTAAAATCTAGTTAGGATTGCAGGAATCTATTTTTATAGAGGAAAATTTTTTTTTAAAGTTTCTTAAACACTTAAATCATTTAATTTTAGTTTTTTTTCCTTTCTTTTTTTTCTAAAATTAGGTGCAGCTTTTTGATTTAAAAAAAAACTGTAACACAACAGCTTCTAAAATAAAATCTATATTTTCGGCAATACCTTATTAAATAATGTGTTTTATTCCAAAAACAAAAACGAAATTGGAGGAATTAGTTCTTAAAGATTGGATATTTTTTAGAACATTGGGTGTTGAGAGAGAAGGGAAGAGTTTCAGACTGGGTTGGAGGGGAAAAAAACTTTTGTTCTTTGAACATTTTTTGTCAAAATTAGAGTGATTTGTTTTTACATTTTATTTGTCAGTTTATTTTTCTGGTAAGGGTGCCCCTTAGAAATCTTAAAATTAAAATATTTTTGTTCGAAATTATTTACTTATTATGATGCTTAATGTGTGCTTTATTAAATTCAGTTAATGATACATATTCTCCATCTTTTGACGTTGAGCAAAATAGTTTTTCTTGTTATAAATTAAAGCAGAAAATTTTTTAGTAAAACAATTTTTATAGATATCGCTCTGTTAAAAATTTTTGCAACAAGGATTCCTTCTGTTTTTTTGCACATTAAAAATGTATTACCTTCAGCGTAAGATGCCAATTGTTATTGTTAACTGACTAAAGATGTCGCCAAATAATATGACACCAATTGCTACCCCATCAAGACATTGGCTGGAAGGCCTGAAATCTGTAAGCTTTCAGTTTTTGCTGTAAACGGGAGTTATATGAGAAAGGTGGACTATCCTTGCTTGCCGAGCCCAAAATAAGGTTATTTAAATATAGTAATGGCCAAGATCCTTCCAAATTCTGATTTATAATATTAATGCATTATATTTGCTAGTACTGGAGTAAATATTTTTTGAAACTACTGAAAATCTGCTGTGATTGGTCGGTATGATATTATAATAGCATCCTAAACTGTATTAATGAATTTGAATATATTTTGTATCTAAAAATTATGCATAACCTTTGTTTGATTTAGTAATTCAAGAAACTTATATAGATTTTTAACTATCAAATCTTGTTGCTATTATATTTTAATATAATATTTCTCTGAAGAAAGTAAATGAATATTAGTGTTTTAAAAATAATGAACACTAGAATGGGGTTTTTAATCATAACATATTTAATTTAAGAGATTATGAGTAAAAAAGGATTTTTTTGAAACAGTTTTTTCATACTTTTTCGATTTCAATGTTGAAAATTTGCTATCATGCTTATCTTAAAATGGTTTGTGAAATTTTAAGTAAATTATTCTAGCTGTTTTGGAGTCCAAATAAACAAGTATAAAAACATTAATCTGTGCGTAAAAAAAAGAGACGCGCTTTTGCTGGTAGCATTTTCTCCTCTTATCTGTCTAAAAGTGACCTTTTACTGTAAATGTACCAAGAAGTTTCAAAGCTGGTCTCAGATTAATTATAATTATTCTGAAAGCCAAAGCAAACTTGTTAAAATAGTGTATTTTCTCACAGATTTCTTTTTCTTTTAGCTATTGAGGACTGTTATAATGGTCCTAAATTAGAAGATGGAAAAGTAACATTAGATTTCATGAAGAGTCTAATGGAAACATTTAAGGAGGGTAAAAAGTTGCACCGGCGTTATGCTTATCAGGTAATCAAAGACATTCAGTCAAGTTCAATTGTACAGGGTATTTTTATTATGTTTTGTTAAAACAAAATTTAATATTTAGAGACAAATTAAAGTTTATTTTAATGCTGCTATTTTGCCCTTGCGCCAATATTTTTTGTGCAAAATTAGCATTTTACCCAAGAGCAGAAAAAAAAGAGTCTGCATAAATTTTATTTTTTTAGTGCTTTAATAAAAAATCAAAAAAATAATACTGTTAGACTTAAGTGATAACTCCAAACTAAGAATCTGAGGCTCTCTGAAATTGTATTGGTTTGCTACTGCTGACTTATGCCAGGATCGAGACGAAATTATTCACTCCACCCTGTTATCCAAAATAATTTACCCTCGAGTCTGATGTCTGGTGAAGTTCTGAAAGCTGCTAAATGTGATGTGTCAATGATATTATTTCATATTTTCAATACGAAAACCACAACTTTGAAATTTGATATAAAATAAGGTGTACTATCATTTTTTTTTGTCTTTTAAATATAATTATTATTTAATATAATTATTTTATTTCATAGGAAGCATATTTAAATGAAACTATACTTTTTAACAAATATTTAGATTATGCAAAATTCCTCCAATAGGATAGAATTAATAATAAAGTAAAAGTTGATAAAATCTCTACTAGTTTATGTCTATATACAATTGTACTTTTTTGCAGTGCAGTTAAATTTTTGATAAAACTTTTGATTTTAAATTTTCTTTTGGTTTTTAAATCTAATCCTAATTATTATGTATGTTTATAGATCTTACTTGATGTCAAAACTCTGTTTGAAAAGATGCCTACAATGGTTGAGGTTCAAATACCTGAGGTAAATAGCTGATAACTTATTTTGTTGCTTGAATCAGAGCCTTTACAGATTTTCAATTATTTATTTGTTTGCAATTTTTCTTTCTAAATTTATATTGAAATACTTAGGAAATGTATGTAAGAGGATTAAATCATTTAAAGGCAAAAAAAAAACATAGCTTAAATCATTTAAAATACTATATTGAATTCCTTAAGTCATTTGCTAATTATTCGTTTTTATCTTTTTCAAACGGAATATTTACTATGGTTTCTTTCAACTGTTTGTATTAGTTTTTTCTCAATATTTACTTTTTTATACTTCTTAGTAATCTGCGAACAGTCATAAAGTAAACCTTTGAATAAAAGAAGAGTATTTTTCCCACAAACTATGCTTTTCTCCCGTATACTTGTCCTGTTTTTTATTAATAATCATTGTCCTATTAAATCAATTAATAAGCTATAATTTTCATGATAAATTTGATTGGAAAGGCTAGAGATTAACACAATTTTTAATTCTAAACTCGTACTGTGTCTTTCTACATTGTAATTTTATATTTTTGTACACTGGAAGCTCTAATAGTAATATTTTTTTCATACAATACCCGCACCACCTCTGTTACGAATCTGGTATGTCACTGGAATCATTTTCATAAATCTTCAGTTTTCATTCTTAAAATATTAAAAGCAAACCTCTCATTTAATTACTTAAGTTCTTAATTTGAAGTGTTTTTCTTCTGCCATTTAAGAAAATAAGCCATAGTTTAAGTGTCTAAAATTTGAAGCGATTCTAGTATATTAGTCATTGAGCCTTAAACTATTTTCTGTGCTTCAGATTGGACAAATATATAAATAAATTAACTTTTGATAATCTCCAGTTCGGCAAAAAAAATTTTACTTTGATATTTTCTTTTTGAGCCCAGATAATGCATCATTGAAATATTAAAAAATCAAATTGCAAATTCTTTTCATTTTTACAAAACTGAGACTTTTCTTAATTCGGTATTTTGCCCATCATCATCGCACTGAGTGCTGGATAAAGATAAAACTTAATTTAACGACTATAAGTAACTGTTGAAAATGGTGCAATAATTTCATTAAAAAACATTCTTCCATATACCGTGATAATCTTTGAAAAGCAGCTTTAATTTTTGTCTAGTTTTCTGATAGCAGAAAAATCTGAAAATCATTTCAACTTAAAAGATTTTGATTGACAGCTTGCTTAACATTTTTAAAAGCTGCTGTAATGTTCCGAAAGATGTTTTGTCAAGGAATAGTAGTGAAATATATGAATTTAAAATTAAATTAGTGAAATTAATTATAAAGAAAAAATTATGAAGTTTGAAAAAACGGCTGTTAATGAAATAAAATTTTTATTCCAACAAAATAAGAAAAAAACTTCATTTATTTTTGTTTATTTAATCATTTTTACACTAATGACAATGTCACTAATAACAGGGTGGTCACACAATAAGCAGGGGTGATTGTGCTCCGCAAAAAATCCGGATTTCCGGAATTTTCGCTAACAGTGATCTGGAAGTTTCCGGAGATCGAAGGTCCAGACGTTTCAAAATATCATTTTTTACAGAAGTTTCCGGAAATCAAATTTTCTAAGGTGGAACTTAAAAACACAGTTTATTTTATTTGTTTGTAAGGGAGAGCCAGANTAAGAAATAAACTTTATTATTTTTTTTTATTTAATCATTTTTACACTAATGACAATGTCACTAATAACAGGGTGGACACAGTTAATTTTATCAGTCTGAAAAAAAATCAGAGTAACATTGGATTCATTCAAGTACTGTTAAAAATTATGGAAAGGAGTAAGACTTTAAGTGTGAGTTTGATTGTCAAAACATTTTCTTCCAAATTGGTATGAATTTGGAAAAATTAGCCCAATTTGTATCAATAAATATCTAATTAAAGTTTAATTATTATATTTGTAATAACTATATTAAAAAATTGTTTGTTTCAACTTCAATAACAAGTAAAAGTTTTAAGTATATTTTCACTCTAAAAACAATCAACTATAAAATTTATTCCATCAGCTGCAAAAAGCAAGGAAATTTTATAAAATCAGTCTTGAGAAATCTGGGATTTTTTTTTCATCTTGAGTGCATGTGTTTATTCTATGATACTTTCCCGATAGATATAACAAAAAGAATTTTGTAGATTAAGTAGTAAAAAATCAATTTAAAAAAATCAGCTGCTGGGCAACTTTTTCCAACATTTAATTGAAAAATTGGATTTTGTTCGACTGCAGCAGGTGTTAATTCCGAGTTTTGAATTAAAAATTCTGTTTATTCCTACCCTTTCCAATCAAGTTTGTCATAAAAATATAGCTTATCAATTGATATAATTATAGGACAATGCTTATAAATTAAAATGTTTTTAAAATTCCAATTGCCAGTTTGTTTACATTCGATCCTGTAGTCAGCAATCATGATTAAGGATTGATTTGAGAATGACAAAAATTTGTTTTTGTACATTGAGCAAAATGCTTTTAACTTAAATCTATTTTTTTCAATCAATAAGTATCGTACTTGTTAATTGTAATTATAAAATATTTATCACATTTCATTTTATTTTTAGAATGACAAGTTTACTGTTTGTGGAGATATTCATGGCCAGTTTTATGACTTAATGAATATTTTTGAAATGAATGGTTTGCCATCAGAAACAAATCCTTATGTATCCTTGTAACAATTATTTATTACAATAGCAGTTATAGTCTTAGTTTATATATGAATTAACCATCTAAACTGAATTATTCTTATTCAGAAATATATATTTTAAAAGTAATAAAAGCATTTAATTGGAATAATAAATGTTATTCATTTAAGATATAATCATAAATGAAAAAGGGCTGCAGTTAATTTAAATTTAATTACAAAAGCTATATTAGGGTAATATAGCTTTTGTAATTTATTGATTTCAAAAACCACAAAAGTTCTTAATGTATAAGACATTTGAGATTAATCAGTAGTTATGCCATTTTTATTATTTTGTAAAATTTTGTGGATTTATTTTTTTTCTCTTTCATGTTGCTAACTTTGTATGTTCAAAATAGGAATGTTGAAAACAGTATAAATCTTTCACTGCTCTTTTTTCAGCATAAAGAATATCGAATCAGTTTTTTAAAAAAAACTCAAGATACTGTGTTTTCCTTAATTTTATTAAGTTATTCAATGGTGATTTTGTAGATAGAGGCTCATTTTCTGTTGAATGCATTTTTACCTTATTTGGTTTTAAACTATTGTTTCCAAATCATTTCTTTATGTCACGAGGTAAGATGCCTTTGTAATGGTCTGCATTATCATATTTACTGAATTTTAGTTTGTATTTATTAAGATTTTATTTTTAGGCAATCACGAGAGTCAAACTATGAATCAGATGTATGGCTTTGAAGGAGAAGTAAAGGCTAAATATCCTTTTTATTCATTATGTTTTGAAAAATTAAAATAGATATAAGTACAGTAGAATCCCAAGTTCTGACTATCCTGTCTAATGTGGTTAAAAAGTAGTTTGAATGACAAAATATTTTGATAAGACAAATGTCCATTTCCTGTGCACTCTCCTATATAATTAAAGATGTATGTTACACAAGATAATTCATTAATGCAAAACGACTTAATGTTTGTTAATTAACTGCACAAATATGAAGATTTAGGATTATTTAAGTCGAATGAGATACCCGCTTTAGCTTTCCCCATTTTTGCCTTCTCCATTTTCAATGGCAGGTTTTATTGGGAGCCTATTTCACTTAAGTGAAAACAGTCCTGCATTGAAACGTATATGATTATTATTAAAAAATCTGATTTTAACAAAACTAGTTAAGTAACTGTGATTTAATGATTAAAGAAATGTAGGATGGTGTATTTCAAAAGCAAAAAAAAAAAATTGTTCAGAAAGCTCTGAAGTTGATTTCTACGGTGTCCACTGAAATGCAATATGATTGGGTTTAATTAAACTTCTTGGGATTATTTACTTTTCAGTTCCTAACGAGAACATTGACTCTTCCGAATAAAGTTGCATGTCTAAAGATCCTCCAAAGTTGTTGCGTATGTCCGTTGCAACACTCATACAATTACTTTTCAATATCTGATTTAATCCCTGTCCTCGATGAGAACGATGAAGAAGAGCAAAAAATTTTGGATGATAAACCACAACTGATCAAGAGTTAGAAAGCATGAAACACTGAAAAAGTACGCTTTAGCTAGGGGTATTATTGAAATTGTATCTCAAAACAAAAGACATGTGAAGATTATACATTTTTTCTAGTAGTTCTTTTGATAAGTGTCAATTTTTAAGGAATATACTTTATTATTATTATTTTACGTTATACCTGCTTCGCGTGTTTTTTTAATGATAGTCTGGCGGAATATGTAAGATCGAATTTTCACTGTATTTGAAATACTAAGTTTCTTAGGTAGTTGTGAGTAGAAGAGGGCCTATTTTTTTTTATACTTTTCTCTGTTAACTTTCAGTGTGCGTATTCTATCTTAAAATTTTAAAATGTTTTTAAGGGTTCATTCATGACTTAAAATACGGGGATGAAAGACTGCCGCAAAAAAACGGAAATCCGCTTTTTTCTCCAAATTTTAAAATTTTCCGACCCTGTTCCAAATACTTTTGGTTAGTCTAATAAGAGAAACCCAAACCGTACGATGGATAGTCGGCCGCTAATGATTGGAAAAAAGAATTCTAAGTTTCGTGTTGGCTGCTGATATTTGATTTCTTTTGTTTGGCTGATTTTCAAAATTTTAAATATTAGGAACTGCGTCGGAATCAGCTAAAATTGCGATTCTTATTCAGACGATTTTTATGTAAATCATCAATTTTCGCATTTAACTCATTTGAAATTTTCTTGAAGCAATTTGTTTTTATGCGATTTAAAAATCGTACTCGCAATTTAAAAATCCAATATCGCGATTTGTATTTAAGCGTTTTAAAAAAAACCAAATATCACGATTCACATATTTTTAAAATTCAATATCGCGATGCGTTACCGCGCGGTTGTAATATCAAGCATCGATTTTCGTATTTATACACGGTTTAAATATTACTCGTTGCTATAAGTATTCGCCGGACCTACAAATTATGCATCGTGATTCTCATTTACGCGATTTAAAAATTCACTATCGAAATTTGTATTTTCGTGCTTTTAAAATCCAATATCGTTATTCATATTCACACGGCTTTAAAATCCAGCATCGCGATTCCTATTCACGCGATTTTAAAATCCAACATTTTGATTCTTATTCACACGATTTTAAAATCCATTATCGCGATTCCTAGTCACGCGATTTTAAAAACAAGTAAGCAGCTATGAGTAAACTGAATTTATTTTAACGATAGTAGTCAATTTAAAAGACAAACGCAAAGTGCATACATTTGATGCTACTGACAAAAATAAATTAAAGTTTGATTGGTCAAAATGACTAAAATTGTTAGTAACAATCTATCAGAGGCTATTAAGATGAAAGTTGGCCACTGTTTTTATTTAAAATGATTGACCAGTAATTTAAAATTACAATTAAGCTGCGACTTCCTTTAATTGCTTAATTTTCTTTAATATGGTAGTGAACCAAATTTTAAAATTATATTTGTTAAAAGAATTTAATTTAATTTTCAAAATGCTTTTGTCACTTTAAATACTAAATAAAAATCTCCTGGTCGAGTTAAAAGTTGCTTTTTTATAGAACACTCCCCCCCGCCCTGTATTGTCTTTTTTTGTTTTCGACCACTTTCATGCCTGTAAAAATCATAATTCTCTATATACACTCTCTATTCTCATTTTCAATTGGTAATGGATGCTATTTCATCTTTTTTAGACTTAGACAGTTTAATATAAATGAGGCATTTATTTGATTTAACATAAAGTTTTGCTTGGGCTAAATAATCGTCCGTAAAATATAGCGATTACAAATATAGTTATATAATCAAATATATATTTTTTATTGGAATATCTTTAACATAATCAAATATTCATCCCAAATGTCAGAACTCTTCACTGAAGTATATAACTGGTTGCCATTGTGCCATCTACTAAACAATAGAGTTTTGGTAAGTATTAACTATGCATTCTGTATTTCTGCAATATTAGAGTATCTGGTGTATTTAAGTCACTGGGTAATTTTTCACCTAATCTTATTCGTATTTAAAATTTAATTTGGTGTACTATTTACCTGATTAAAAAATTACAATAACTGTTTTTTATTTATAATGTTGATAAGAACCTTACATTAGTGACATACTGTTTTGAATTCTATTTACTTAAACATTTTATTGCTCTTAGCATAATTTTCCTCAAGTAGCACAACAAGTTGATATTTAGAAACTTCAGTTTGTATGTGTAATATAAAGGTTAAAATATTTCTATTTTATCACACATGATGAATAACATAAGTTGCATTCTTTTTGTAATAAACTTTTATCGCCGTAAGGAATCCCATGTCTTTTAAAAGTGATGCACCTACTTTTTTGTTTTTTTTTAGGTGTGACGATAATAAATTATTTTTTGCTTTTAGTCCACTGAAAAACATTGTTTTTTAACATTTTTATTATTACTATAATTCTAGATGTAATATTAAGTATCTCGGATGTGAAATTTCAAAATTAACAGGTAAGAAAAAGGGTATTTTCTGTTTACTGGAAATTTTCTCATGTCAATTAAATATGTAAATAATGCTTAGCAAATATATATAATATTGTTTGACATTGAAAAGCATTTTCGTTAGCTTCTCTTAAGATTTTGTCACCCTTACATATATATGAGTCAATTTAATCTTTAATTCTTGACTTGTAGAATACTCTCTAATTTTTGAAGAATAGTTTTAAAATCTATAATTTTGAAAGACTTGAACTTTTTTACTCTTAAAGAAATAAGTCATATTAGGCTGTTTGAAAAGTAAATATATTTTTCCCCAACAGAGGACATAATTGTATTTATTTTTTTTCACAGCCAATTTCACACTCAAGCCACATAATTGTTAGTTTGACAGCTGATTTAGCAAGGCCTACTTGTGGAAAGTTTTTATTGTTTCTATTTAATAGTTTTTATTTCGTACTTTTTCAAATATGGAGAGTGAAAAACTGCCCTCCCACCATATTACTATCGAAAAAGTAAAAATGCTTTTAAACTAGGAAAAAATCCGATGTGTATGGAGAAGATGTGTTGACAGAACACTAATTCCAAAACTGGTTTGCTTAGTTTCCATCAGACAATTTAGATGAAGATGCACTACAATCTGGGAGGCCTGTCAAAGCTGATGACAATACAATGAAGTCAAGGATTAATGCAAATTGGCGAATAACAACTTCTGAGATTGCTGAGAGATTAAATTTATTGATGCTCTTGATCATTTGAAACACATGGGTTTCATTTCAATGCTACACACATGAGTTTCTCATGGTCTTGTGGAAAGAAATTCATGGTGTTGCATTGATGTCAAGAATTTGCTTCTCAAAATCAAGAAAATTATAAATTTTTGAAGTGTATCATCACTGGGGATGAAAAATAGATTGTCTACAACAACAGTGTTAAACACAAGAGATCATGGAGTAAAAATGAATCAACTCAAAACACTGAAAGCCAATATTCATCAAAAAAGGGTGGAATCTTTTTTCTTTTTTTTTCTTCTATCGGACTACACAATGGTCAATTCTGAAGTGTACAGCTGGGCAAATTTAATTATTCTCTTAAAGAGAAAAGGACAGAATTGTTCAATAGAAAAAAAGTGTAGTGTTCCACCAAGATAATGCAAGACTTAGTACAAGTTTGGTAATGGATGGGGTGTACTTCCACACCTAGCGTATTCTCCAGATCTGACACCATCTGGTGATTATTTGTTCTGGTGTGTGCAAATTTGTTTAGATGGATGGTANTACTGTGTTTTAACTTTGACGTGATTTTATTCCAATACTACCGTTGCGTGTTTGTATATGATTTTATCAATTTTTAATTATATTTAGGAAAATAAGCATGCACTTCAATTTTGACATGTATAAACATATTGTTTGGCGCAGCATGTCCACATTTGGATTTTGTGCCATTAAACTCTACATTCAATCAATCAATCCACACCTAGCATATTCTCCAGATCTGACACCATCTGGTGATTATTTGTTCTGGTGTGTGCAAACTTTTTTAGATGGATGGTAAAACCTTAACTTCAAATGGAAAAGCCACATATCTCCCAGATCAGTTTTATCCAAAGAAGAACAAGACTTTTATGTATGTAAAACCAGAATAGGCAATAAAAGTTCAATGAACACTTATTCACTATATGAAAATAATCTTTTATTTAAAAAAAAAAATACTTTCCAAGCAACCTAACAAATTAGTGATTTAGTTTTACTTCAATAAGAATATTTATTGTTAACATGCTATCTTTTATAGGTGTATAACTAGCTTGATTATTATATGGAGTATTGTTGATTTATATTGCTAAATTTTTTATTGTAGGTAATGCATGGTGGATTGTTCTCAGAGCCTGGAGTGACACTAACTGACATTCGCAAAGTTGACAGAAATAGGCAACCTCCTGAAAAAGGTAATTCCAAAATGTGTTACCTTTTATTTTAGCAATTTTTGAACACCTTTTGTACTTGTTTAAAATCTGTTTGGTCCAATTTGCTACATGATTGGGCCTTGTTCGCTAAAAGTTTAACTTTATCATTTTAATAATGTAGATTTTTTTTTTACTTACATTTAAGAGCTAAATTACAAGTCAAAAATCTACATATCATAACAGTGAAGACTCACACCTGTCCCTAAAGCAGTGTGTTTTACCTCTATTTTGAACTGTACTTTTTGACAGTGCTTTTGACTTTTGATAATTTTTCACTTCATCTATTTGTATAAAAAATTTAGATCCTTAAAAGTAATTATATTCAAAAATATGCTGGTAATTTAATTTGATATTTAATTTAAATTTTATAAAATTTAAGCATGTCAAAAATATAATAATAATAAAATACATAAAAACAATTAAGTTTTGCTGTCACTTTAAATTCAAGAGTAAAATCCTGTGAAAAATTCAGAAGAATGTACAGCTACTTATTTATGTACATATTTTTATATATTGTTTTTACATCTGATACCTTTTTACAAATGGTATTTTATTTTTTTATTTGCTTTTAGAACAATGGCACAATATATTTCAAGTGTATGTATAACTACAGATTTTCATTTCAGGACTAATGTGTGAGTTACTCTGGTCTGATCCTCAACCCCAGCCTGGTATTTCACCTAGTAAAAGGGGTGTAGGAGTTCAATTTGGCCCAGATGTTACAAAAGAGTTCCTTGATAAAAATAAATTAGACTATATTATACGTAGTCATGAAGTTAAAGCTGAAGGATATGAAGTAACGCACAATGGAAAGTGCATTACTGTTTTTTCTGCACCTAATTACTGGTATAATATTTATTTTTTTTACTCTCCTATTTATATTTTAATTTTTTTTATGTGCAATAGCTATCTTTTAGACATAAGCTTATTTTATTTTACAATTTATTAAATTGAATAATTTCAAGTGTATAGCTGAACATAGTAATTGCATAAGTCATTTTGTGAACCTGAGTCCTTGTATTTAATCATATTTGAAATTGTTCTTGGTGATATTTTTGTTTTGGAGGTTGTAATTCTTATATCACTAACAATATGTAAAGTGTGTACATAATACGGGGTAGAGTTTAAAAAAACTCGGACGAAGCTGTTGCATCATAGAAGTTTACTAACTTCTTTTTAATCTGTGTTTTCATTTCTTTTTGTCTACCATTCCAATTATAAAATCCTTTAATATATCTTTTAGTTGATTTTTTTTTGTTGCTTTTTTTATTATGTCATGTAAAAAAAATGTGCTGTTTTAGAGTTGTGTTAGCAAGAAAAACAGGTGTAAAATTGTTTGTTTAATCTGTGCACAATCCTTGAATATGAAAGTCTGAAGTAGTGATCCCCTACCTGTGGTACTGGTTTGTATATGAAATAGTAGCAGGGCATGCAAGGAACATTGAATTATTTCCATTTTATTTACTGTGTTTCTCTTGGGTTCATACTTTCTATGGACAAGAGTATAACCTGGAGCTGAGAAATGTTACCCAAAGCTGCACCAATACTGCTCATGTAACTTTATTTGGAGATATGTTTAAACACTATTTAATTAAAATTGTTAAATAAAAGTAATAAACTTGTAGGCTGCGGTAAAATTTTCAAACATTGACTGTCCCTTGAGGATAAAAAGCGCACTAATCTAAGATAGTAACTTAGGCAGGAATAGGCTGGATCAAAAGTAGAAGACTTGTCATACATTGCTGAAAATTTCAATAAGTGTATGCCCCTATGCATAACTGAGTATAGTTCAGTAAAACATTTTTACTTGCATCTGTTTTGACAACATTTTTGTTTTTCACTTTTTTCTTTAGATTTTATTAGTGGTGTTGAGCATTTAAATTGCAAAGTAGAGTGTTATGTTAAATTATGATATTGATCTATGAGAAAAATAAATCTTTAATTTATTTCATATTTTTAGTGATACAATGGGAAACAAAGGAGCCTTTATTACCCTAAAAGGAAAAGATATGAAGCCCAACTTTGTTACATACACTGCTGTTGTAAGTATTTTTTTTTTCTTTAAATTTTTATTTTTGTATTCATCTGTGTATTTCCAAAAATGATCAGAGCTATAAAATTTCAGAGACTATATATAAAATTCCAAGAGACTATATATATATATATAATAAATATATGCCTTGCTGTATTCTGCTTAAATAACTGTGAGAAAGTGAAATTTACTCAAAATCCATTATTATATATTTAGTCTAACCTTTAAACTATTTTAGAAAATTTTAAAAGACAGCAAAAATGTCCCTCTCCCATGCTTTTTTATGTGAAAGAATTTATGTCAAAAGTATAAAAAATTTGGGTGTACTGGTTTTATCTTTTTAAAGTTTGTAGAAGCAAGCCAACATATATGTAAACTATTTTTATTATTTCTATATATTATTGGAGAGCTACTATTGGCAACTAAAACTATTTTGAAGAAAAGGTGACATGGATAACTATTTTTTGCTAAAATATATTAAAAAACGACTATTTTGCAATCAGTTATGAAAAATGTATACTTTTGTTACCAATTAATTATGAAAAAAAAGAATAAATTCACTTTTTTTATTTTTTATTTAGTCCTGTCTACAATATGATAGTTAAGCTTGTTTTTTGATAATCTAACAATTAAAAAGAAATTTAAGTAAGCCGCATTTCATGTATATTTAATTATAAATAATAAAAGTTATTGTTAATGAAGTACTACAGCTACAGTGTTCACAATAAAAAGGGTATCACATTGAATAACTTTATTTCTAATTATTACATTTTTACAGATTAAATGCCAATAATAATGATTTAACAAACCGAAATCTAATATGCTAATTATTTAATTATAAATTAAGCTACAAAATCAGGCACAGAAATGTACTTTCCCTGAATAAATATACCTACTATTTAGTCATATTTGGTTTTTATATGTGCAGAGTAGCCTCAATCTGAAAAATAGAGTATTGATAGTTTAGAAAGCAAAGTTTGGATCCCTTCATATTGGTTTGTTATTTTCCAAATGTTACTGCTTAGATTAGTATTTTATTTAACTTTTTTTTTCTTTTAGAATTTTTCAGATGCTGGCTGCTTTTTTTTAATTTTTTTTTTTAAGTGATTTGAAAAATGCTTGCACAGATTTACTAATTTAGCTAATCAAGAGATAGTTTTATACATTAAAAAAAAATTATTCTTAATACTTTTTTTTTTTTAATTTTTGTATTAATTTATTGAAAAATTTGAATGAAAAAACTGCAACAGAGTTGTTAGAATAATTCTGGAGAACTAGAATTTTAAAAATATGACTTTTTTAAATATTTTCAGCTCAAAAATATTTATATTATTTTACCTATTTTTTTTTTATTTTTCCTCTTAAAATTAGGTGTTTTAAAATGGTGTAATTTATTGCATCCAGTAATAAAAAAATTACACATTTTTTTTTTTTATTGGAAATTTTGTTGAATAAACAATTTTTTTAATTTGGTTTCAAGCTGCTTTAAAACCTCTTGATATAACCAACTATGCAAATGTTGCTGTTTGATTTGTTTTTGCAGCACATACTATGTATACCATGTAATTTTTTTAAATTTTTTTTTTATATATATAATATCTTGTTTTTAGAGAACATCTGCATATCAGGACATCTAATACATCTTTAACAGATTGAGTTTAATGCTTATGCATATTTTAAATTGGATTATTATCACATATATTTTTGTATGAGCATCTATCTGTAATGTAAATTATTTATTTCTTTGGATTATGTTATATTAAAATATGAATGATTGTAAAAATATATTAAAAGGGGAGACTATTTTGGCAACTATTTTATGCATCTAGAAACTATTTTTGAGACTATTTTTCATATTTGAACAGCTAAAGAGCAACTAATTTTGGAGTTTTACTCCAGTAACAGCCCCGTAATTATAATTGTAATAATTTTCTTTGTCTTGTTCGATGTTAATTATCTATATTTTTTATTATTATTTCAGCCTCATCCAAACGTGAAACCCATGGCATATGCCAGCAGCTTGCTTGCTTTCATGTGACGTCGGTCATCTTAGATAATCATAGCCTCAGGAAATTCTGTTATGTAAATACAAACTCCTTTGTTGTTGTTTTCTCAGCATCTGTTTCATTGAATAACTCTGGAGATGTTTATATTTAGAATTATACTGTTTTAATAAATACTTGTATATAATAATTTTAATTTAAAGCACCATGAGCATTTCTTTCTTTTTTTCTCTTTACACATTTGTTACATGTAACACATTATTAACTTTAATTACTTGTTAAAAGTGGTGTTAATAATAAAACTTCTGGAAATATTAGATATTTCAGCAAATTCCTAAAAATTTAGGAATAAAAATTTAATTTAATTAATAACATAGTTAGTGTAAGATTACCCTAATTCTTATCAGCTTAAGCTTCCCTATATTTAGTTTAGATCCATAACTTACAGAACCAAAATTTCAAAACTCCTTCAATAGAACAATTGAATCAATTTTCATAACTATACCTATATTATCACTTTGCTAATATATAATAAATTCAAGGTATTCTCCTCGAAGAAGGCAAGAGATTTTATCAATCTGAAAAAAACAAGTAATTTAACAAAAATGTTCTATAAGTCGGGATAAAATAAATTAATTTGAAATGGAATAACTTGAAGATCTAATATTTTTTGCAACAATTGAAAAGCTTTTTTCGGCATTAATATGTTTTTCCCTTTGTGTGTATGTGTTTTTATTTATCATAATACATGAACTCATTTCTTTAATATAGAGTCAGTAAATATGTTTCATTAAATCTACATATATATATACAGTCAGCCCCCACACCTAATTCCATATCGTATAGTTCGCTTATACAAATAAAATTTCATAACACAAACAATTTTTTATAAAACTAATGTTATTTACTTGTTTAAACGGTTATTTCTTGTTACCATTCCTCACTTAGTTGCATAAAGAAGATTTACTGAAATGAAAATGTAAAAAATTACTTATCTTTTAAGAAATGTTTCACCAGCTAGAATGGAAGTTTCGTTTTCCAGTGAAGAAGATAAATAAAATATGTGGATCTCAGATAAGCAAGGGGGTTTTACATCTCCTAGATTCACATATTTAGACTGTAGGAAGGCACAGAGTGATTAGTTTTGCAGCCAAAACCTTTTCCCCTGTTGTACACTAATTTAGCTTTGATAAGAAAAAGTTTAAAACTAGTGTGCAGTTTTTCTCTGAAGTAGAATAATCACTCCTTTCTCTAGTGAATAACTCTGAGTAGCTTGCTAGAAAAAGAAGGATTTAAGATTATCGATAGAAAAAATAGAAGTCTTAGAAGCAAAAGATCCTAAGCTTTAATTGCTGATTATTTTGGAATTCTTAAAGTTTTGAGGATAAAAGAGATTTCTGAAAGCATTCAAAAGGAATGCTCAAATAATGAAAGTCTTAATAGAAAGAGAAAATAGATTTTTGTTGAATTATACTGGCATCAAAACAGTCTTCAATTACAGATTTTTTCGAAAGTAATGAAATAATTTAGTACCTATGTTATGCTTCTAATTAGCATTGATTTATTTCTACATAACTTTATATGACATTTATATTTTATGATATTAACATTGACAGCTTTAATTATATTTGTTTATTGATCATAAAATTGAGTTCATTTAATTAAATCATATTAAACATTAGATACCATAAAAACTAAAAATTTAACTTTTAAGAATGAATAATTCTCCTTTTTCTAGAATATCCTATTTAAATGAGTAGAGTTGGCTGGAACAATGGTATTCCTTTAAGTATGGTTGACTGTGCATGTATATATATAAATTCAATAAAATAAATTTGAGGGGAAAAAAAACTTATTTTTCCCCCCCCAAGTATTTGTGGCCTTCCTGAAGTTTAACTGTGATATAGTTAGAGGTGACGCTTCCATTATCTATAGAAAGAGTTTCTGTCTTATAAAAAAAAGAAAAATAATAATAATGTTCAGTATGTTTTAATTTTAGCACAATCATAATAGTTTTGAATTAAAATGCCGAGGTGTTCTCAAGTTCATTCATATTGCAAAAAATAGGAATGGAAGTTGTTATTTAGTAATAAAAATGATCATTTAGTTCTAGACAGGGCCTTACTTGCTAATCTAGTTTTTCAATGAATATTTACATTACAGTCTTACATTATGGATCTTGGAATTATCATCTACATGGTGTGTAGTGTTTTTAAAAAATGCTTATTTTCGTTTTTTAAAAGCCTTTAAAGGTGCTTTTTTCATTGGGTGCTTTTTCAAAAATGAGATTTTTTTTCTTTACAATCTCGATTTTCACCACATATTATGCAAAAGCATGCTTTTTACATTGTTCTATCCAACATTTTCACAATTCATTCAACAACAATCCATTTTGGCGTACCTTCAGTCCATAGCATATTAAAGCTGCAATCATTTTACATGTGTAAGGAATTACTTGCGAGTCTGCATGTGCATCTACTGTGAGATTATTGCACTCTCATGTGCAGCTCTGCTGCATTTTGCAAGATACTCTCAATTTCAGGCTTCATTTTCCACCCTCAGATATCGAATTGAAAAATCTCTTGATCATTTTATAATGGCTAATATAATAAAGAAAATAGTTCTCTGTCAGAAACTAGTTATTTTGTCTTGATCATGTAAAGTCTTTGAAAATTATTTTGCATTTTGTTAACGTACATAGTGCTCAAAAATATTTTTTGCTTAAAAGCTGCTTATTTTTTGTCGGAAGATTTGGCTACACACCCTGATCTACCCATAACATATTTAAATTCATAATGATTATAATTATTAAGTTTAAAAAAAAAGTGCAGTATGCTCTCCATATCTCGAATACCCTGTTATGTCAAAAAAATATTTTTTACCCGTGCCATTACATATCCACATAATGTTAATTTGAATTCCTGTGTTGAAGAGTTTCTTCTCAAAACCTGGTTATGTCGAATGTTTTTCGAAGTAGAAATGGAATTCTTTCAGAAAAATTACAATGTAAGTTTATTGTAAACCAATTATTTTTTTATTTAATGCATAATTATTTTTGTCTTACTTTAAAAAATGAAACTATCATTACTGTATTTAGACTTATAGTCAATTATCATTACATACATATTTATTAGTAATTTTTATGTTTCATTACTCTACTTTTTAGTGTACTTACTAAGAATATATCTTTCCACTTTCTAGAACATATTTAGTTCTGAGCATGCTATCTCGAAATTTTGTAGCATCTCTTCACCTTTGAGATATCGAGAGTATACTGTATTTCGAACTTGAGAATTCAAACATAAAATTTGGTTTGAATACCTTAAAAATGATTCTCAAAAACGATATAATAAAATCGTATATAATGTGCATCAAAAATTTGTGTCACATCTCTAAATCAGCATAAAATAAAAGTTCTCTCTTACTAAGTATATCCAAATGTTAAAAGTTTCTAATCTCACTTACTGCCGTTATTGTTTCAGTAACTTAGTTTTATAACAGAAAAAAGTACTTTTATGACTTTTTTAAGTAATAAATTAAAAGGTCAATCACTTTTTTTAATATTTTCAATAATTGTTAGGAATCATTTTGCAATATGCCTTAATTCAGTTAGCAAAATTATTCACTCCCACCGTAGCTTGATTTTATAATAAATCTGCATCCTTGTATATTTTTTTTATTGCACCTATACTTATTATCTATGGTCATTTAAAAGAATAAAATAATTAACTGGCATATTATAGATAAAAATTGTTTATTAGATGAAAGAAAAATGAAATACATATATATATGTGTGTTGCTCCACTAAAAAAATTCCATTTATGTACTTAAATGCTTATGAAATGAACTGACAGGCATGCAGCATGAGTTTTTCATAGGAATGATGAATCAAATGATTCACTAATTGTTCATTCATGGGAAAAGATGTTTAAATCAAGATCTGTCTGAGCATTCAATCTGTTCACCATCTTCACTTGAATCTGGACAGACGCAAGATCTGCTTCCTTTTCCATCAGGCAAGCATAGGTATCTGCACCCTCCATTGTCAACAGCACATGGACTGCCCACTGAAAAATAATATGGTGAATATAATGGAATGCAGGATATAACAATAAAGGTAATAGAATATGTTCATAGTAGGAGGCAATAGCTCAAACCACTGATTGAGCTAGGGGTAATGAGTTCAAGCCTGATAGCCAACAAGACAACTGGCGTGTTTATGCAGTAAGGGGAATATAAATCTGTTTGTGGCTGAAAGTCTACTTGTTGGTTGTGATGTGGAAGTTTGGTGGGATGGGTACCAGCACTGGTGCTGACCAGGATCAAAATTATGTGGCATTCCTACCATAGTCTTTAAAAAACTGAGCCCTTAAAATGGTTGAAAGTGCTGTTCATGGTAGAAATAAAGAAAACATTGTAGTAGTAGGCATTCTCATTTATCAATTTACCAAAGAATTTTCAAGAAACTAGAATGGGTGATGAAAGAAGGGATTGTGTTTCGTAGCAACTATACTGTCCCAATTGTTATTAGATCCTAGATTAATTAAACTAATTTCAGGACAGACGTAGTTTGGTTAATGGATTTTTTTTTTCATTGATAAAACTATAAAAATCAAGCCTATAGTAAATAAAATAGTAGTATAAAATTATTTTTTTCGTTATCACCTTAATAGTTATTTCCTTGTCAAATAAATGTATACTTTACTTCCATTCATTTTGAAGGTGAAACTTTTTTATCTGTTGATTACTGTATCTTAGAAAGTCTTTGAATAACTAAGAGTTTCCTATTAATTGTTTGAAGGATAAATCCCCTTCTATAAATGAGGAAAATAATTCACTTCTTTGTCAACTATCGCTACCAAGCAATGCACTGCAGTCGTTTTGGCCATCATTATTTTCTAAAAATTTGAGTAAAAGTGCATTTAAAAGAAAGACGAAAAAAAGGATTATATGATAAACTTTTAAGATTTTATTACATATGAAAATTTTTCAATGATAAACAAACTTTGAATATCTTTTTTGAACTAATTGTTCCAGATACTGCCACACCTGTTATAACCGCGATAAAAAATGATAGATGAGCTAATGTAATTTAAAATTATTAAAGTAAATGTTAGCGAAAATTGTGAAAAGATATTTAATTTTTACGTTAGCTGAGGAAAATGAATAATTTTAGTATACAATAATGATAAACATAAATACCTGATGGACAGTATGAGGGTAACGAGACTAATCCATACATTTTTCCACTACCTCCTGCAGGTACTTCTAGAGGCTCTGCTTCGCCTCCATTAACATCCACTCGGTGTAAGAATTTTCTAGGAAAGAAAACATTTTTTATTGTAAAGATGTCTTTTGTGTTCTAAAAACAGGAATTGTTGAAATATCTATAGTGATTTTAAACTGCTTTGGTAAATTCCAGGTAGCTCAGTAAATACTGACTAAATATATGTGCATCAGTTACATTTACTGTCTCACCATATCCGAAAATTGGGAAATAGGATGCTACATTTTATTTACCTTCTGTTTTAAGTTTTGTTTGAATTATTTGCTTTACTTTTTTAAAATTGTAATCTTGAGTTCAATCTGGAAAGAAAAAAAAAAAACATTACCATTGTAAGGCAACATTTCCCAAACTGTAGGTCATCACCATCCAGAGGAGCAAGAATCGATTTGCGGCAAGATATTAAAAGTATGTTTGTTTTCTATTTTCAAAAATTTGAAGAACTCAATAGTTTTCTATATAAGAAGAATAGAATAAATAATGTATGCATTATTACATATATCCATAAAGTCGCGATCGCACTGTGATTAAAGCACTGAGCACCCTATGAAAGACTATCTATTCCCGGTGATGGTGTAATATTCCACCCTAGCTTGTCTGAGAAGTAAAACTCTGTTCGTAATACTGTCCACATTACCTTTGCTTTTGCCACGAAATTAGTCTCTAATTAGCTGATATGATAGTTCTTTTAACTAAATCTTTCTCATCAGTAGGATCTTTGTAACTAAGAGACTGGTATTTATACGAATCGAACTTACCCTTACTTAATTTTATTCGTTTTTGCATATTTTAGTCTTCAATAGCATTACTTATATTGGAAACGTTGGTTTTGCATTGAAAGTTGATCCTATAACGGCCTAACTTTCGCATTATCTAATGTTCTTTCTTTCTATCTTTTTTTTCTCCCCAAAATGATTAAAACTGGTAACACATTTTTTTAAAAATTTATTTTGATAAAACAAGTAATATAATGTAAATTATGTTTTGATTTGAAATTATGGATTTTTAAGACCAAAGGGGCAGCCAAATAAGAAATTATCACCTTAGCTTTAGCACTAAATCTTCAGCAAAAAGGTACTTATTACTACAAAGTTTGATGGATGGGTTGAAAAAGAAAATTATTCTTACATTTCCCAATCTGTCCAATAGATATGGTTTTCATGGATTGCAATACCAAATGGATAAGCTGCTGGTGTGTACACAATTCTTCTGCTTTGGCCGTTTAATGCTATACACTCTATTCTTCCTAATCCTGTAAATAACAATAAACAGTAAAAATTGAGAATCCTTTGGATAGATTCTAGTACAGTAAGCAAAAAATATCACCCTGAAATAGCATTTATCGAATGATCGGATTTTCGCCTACTTAATAATTTAAAAGATTTTCCAATCTTAATAATTTAAGCGATTGGCCTCAAATATTCTAATTAATTGGTACTAGATATTAGTTGAATTAAAGAATTAGACCCCAAAACATACTTTCTATAAATAAACACCCTTTTTTTCAACGAATTTGGATTTTTGATCATCAATAGTATGCAATCCCAATAAGTTTAGCTAAGAGAGTAGTCAAAAGTTTGTACCCAATAGTGTTTTTTTTTTCCTTATCTCGAAAAGTAATAACACAATTTAAAAATTCTTGCTCTCATCTACTGAAGTCGGACAATTTTTGAATCAGAATCCGAGTGTTTACATTATTTTAAACAATGTAATTTTATCGGTTGATTAGTTTCTGAGTTTTATAATTTAAAAAGGATTTTATTTAAATGTTCACTATTCATAAACTATTTGAACGATGAAGTTCGAATTTTTTATTTTGTCATTGAAGTTACATAATCTAAGATGGTGTTGAAAATGAATGCCCAAAAAGTTCAAAATTTCTTTGGCTGTTGTTAAAAAAAAATAATTATAAAAAAAAATTTTTATCCATGAAACTATCTTTCGGTTAACGAGTCTCATGAGTGGATGGTTATACATTTAAAGATGTGATGGAAAATGAGAAATAAACAGTTAGGGTCCCAAACTTTCCATTACTCTCCTGCAAACTATAAGAACCTTATTTTCTAGATTGTGTTAACCCCCTCCCCTATTCCGATAATCAAAAATCCAAATTTGTCGGGAAAAGTATGTTTTTATGTATAGTTCCGCAACTTAATAAATAGTTATCATTAGTTAATTAGCATATTTTAGGTAAAATAGAATATAGAATTCATACCATTAAAATAAGTTATTAGTAAGTAAAAATGTGATTATTAGAACAAAAGTTATATAGGGTTATGTCTTTTTTTTTTTGAACATGAAACCTAATCTGCTGTAAAGAAAAATATCTTTTGCCCTGCTATTTCACTTGATTCTGCCTATAGCAGGATAAATCAACATTTTTGGATGATTTTTTAGCATTTGTTTATTAATGCTTACTGCCTTTTTAAGGGATCGTTCTAAAAATGCATGGCAAGCTAACAATAATTTTTTTTTTCATGAAATAAGTTAAATTATTTTGCATTTTTTTCTTTCAAATTTTATCTGATAGCGCACATCAAGCAATAGATTCATAATGTAGACATTTTCACTTTGAAGGCAGACTCAAAATTAGTTTTTTTTTTTTTTTTTTCCTTCCAATTACCAGAAGAAAAATGATTTTTTTTTTTTTTGATAATTTGAGAAATTAATTTTCCTACATTTAGCAAATATTTAAGTAACAATTTTTTTTTTCATTTTGTAGTTTTTTTTTTTTTTTAGTATTTTGCACCATTTTTTATTTTAATAGTTTTTTTTACATTTTTGAATTCCCGCTCAAAATTTTTTTTAATGTTCATGCATTTTTTTAAAGAAATTTTCTAGTTCATTTCACTACACTTAATTTTATTGCACACAAGTATTGGAAGAATTAACAATGCAGTACGGATCGCTCGCTACCTTTAAAAATCCTTCTGGATCTCGGGCCAGAGGAAGACCTCCAACTAGATGGCTGGACGACACTACTAAAGATCTCAAAGTAATAAAGATTAACAACTGGAAAAAAGTCGCCATGAATAGGAGGCGTTGGAGGCTACGCGTGGTTGAGGCAGCCAAGGCCTGTAAGGGGCTGTCGTGCTGAAGAAGAAGAATTTCGACCTGCAGTTAGTTTATGACGTCAGTTCTCGACGTAGAAATGGATTTTTTAGATTGCACAGTTCAAAAGATAATTATTTTAAGGTAATGAGAAAGAACTGTTACTCATGACTGTTAGGTCAAGTTTAGCCTATATCTAATGCCAGCGGTGTCTACGCTTACTTTGAAAATGGCACAAAACGTCAATATAGAGAATAACCACAGCTTTGTGAAAATTAAATGCGTTTGTGATCTAATTTTTTAATATTTAAAAACTTACTCTAATTCTTTACTGTTTGGACTTATCAAAAACTGAGAATAAGGCAGTGATTTTGATAATTTTCATCTAGGTTGGAAAATGCAGCAAAATTCACGATTTTTAAAAAAGTTTAATAACTTTTAAAACATTTAAGTTATTTGTCTGTTCTGAAGCCCATAAGATAATTCTTCATGAAGATAATTCTTCACGGCAAGATTATATATATAGTTTAAAATGAAGGTATTGCTTCAAGTGTAAGGCACTTAAACTCTGGTTTTTATTCATTTTCCTTGGAGACAGAGTTTTGAAAAACAGCGTTAAGCTTGTATATAGTAGGTATTTTTTTTTTACTATTTGGTGTTGCGTTATATACACTTAAAAAGTTAAAGTTTCAAACCTGAATCAGTCCAGCATAAATTATTTCGGTCAAAATCAATAACGATCATATTAGGGAGACCGAGGTTGTCGTTCACTAAGTCTGATCTTCCTGTACCGTCCATGTTAGCCATTTCAATTTTTGGTGAATTTCTACTCCAATCGGTCCAGTACATTTTCCTGTTAAAAGTAAAAATTATTCTTGTTTTAATAAATAGCTTATAGAAACGTAATAACCTCGTTTAAGCAAAAAATACAGTCGGTCGTAAATATGTTGGTTTTAAGCTCCTCACGGGGTTTTCCTAAATCATACATTTTGATTTAATAAAATAAATTACGTTACACGCTTATAATGTTTTTTTTTCCTCTTTTTTAATTTTTTGTAGTAACAATAATAGCAAGTTAAAAAAGAAAAGAATACGATAGCATTATTTTATTGAATTTTCTTGGATTTTTCGATTTCATGGTTGAAAAAAAATGAGTTATCTAATGAGCTCCCAAACACTATTGCTGAGATAATAAACCTAATCCTTACCGTTCACTGTTGAGAAATTTAATCTCCTATGAGTCACCTCAACAAAAGGTTAACCCCTTAACAGTCGATTAATTTTCAAGAAACGGTCATAAAAGTGCCTATTTTTTTGGCTTTTGTATTTGTATTACGTAATTGATTAGTGCTGCAACTAGTTAAAAATAAACTATCTACAATGACCTTAAAAATATCCTGGTACTGCCATCAGGTGTGTAAAATGAGAAATAAAATGTTTTCGGGGCAAAAGAAATGAATTAGTTTTATTCTTATTGCCGCGTTACTACTGAACACTCCAGCCCGTCAATATCACGGGAGTGAGAAATAGCGGGCGAAATTCCACCCCGTCAGTTTCACGGGAGCGAGAAGGAAGGGGTTAATGTATAAGCATTTTATTGTTAAAAAATATACTGAAGGGTAGGAAATGAGCACAAAGAAAACAAATTCTAGTGAAATTACTGCACTCTATGTTAATAACATTTAAAAAACAACAACATTATTTTGATAATAAAAACCAAAATGTATATATATCATTTATTTGGTAACCTTTTCGTTCATATTGCAATGCTTCATCAGAAATTCTGGCTTTAAAAATTATCCTTCTCATTACCGCATATTTAGTAAAAAAATACAAAACTAAAAAGTAAATTTAACCGAATAAATGGTTTTTATGCCATGCTTTAAGGTATCATGATAAAATTGCCAAATTTTATCATTGATTTAGAAACAATATATTTTGCTAATTATACCAAAATACTTTCTGATGCACTTCGGTAAAAATGAATGATATTTTTGGCGTTCTCATAGATCCAGAAACTCAGTACATTTTACCATATTTTGGTAGTTTTGATCATTTTTTTTCTCAGTGTGTGTAAAAAGGTTACCCATCACTACTTAACGTATTCAATAAATTTCTTTTTAACCCCTTAAGGATCGGTAATTTTCAAGAAAACGGTCATAAAAGTGCCTATTCTGTCAAATACACGTATTTGATTAGTGCTGACATCTAGTTTAAAATAAAATAACTATCTACAATTACCTTAAAAATATGCTGGTACTGCCATCTGGTGTGTAAAATGAGAATAAGATGTTTTCCGGGTAAAAGAAATGAATTAGTTGTATTCTTATTGGCACGTTACTACCAAACACTCCAGCCCGGGAATTTCACGGGAAGGAGAAATAGAGGGCGAAACCTCGCCCCGTCTTTATCACGGGAGCGAGAAGGATCGAAAATTCTTTTCATAACAAAAATATGCGATTTTCATTGAAAAAGTGTCGATTTAATTCCATTACATCATTTAGACATTTCCGTTTTAATCTTCTCCTTTTATTGTACGCATCTCATTATAGAACTAATTTTACAAGTATGTGTGATATACCTACCCTAATCCTGGATGTATTGCTATGCCTCGCGGATTGCTTAAATCTTCAGAAATCAACACTTTTCTAAACTTGTTTGTTAGGCCAGCAACTTCAATCGTATCCTTTCCTGAATCAGTCCAATATAAATTTCTACCAGGCCAATCGATTGCAACACCTTCCGGAGATAACATATCTGAAATATAAATTCATATTTTAACAAGATTATAAATACTTTATTTAACTAAGTAATTTCTACGTCTTTCAAAAACAATGCCAAGTTTGAAGCTATTAAATTTGGATTTTATATTTTTGTGCAAATATAATTTTGATAACCTAACAGATTTTTTTTAAATTACTGTTAGACTACTTTTTTCTAATTAAAAATTGTTTAAATATATATTTTTATTGTTTAAATATATATTATATATTTTTGCTTGTAGTTAGAGTGTCGGAAAAAGAAATGTATATTCAAAGGACACCACCATAAAGAAATTTTCCCCTACAATGCACCTAAATATTCATTTATTTCTAACCTACTGGATTTGTTATAAAAGTTTTTCTTCATGCAACAACAAAAAATTTAAATTACAAATTTTACAATAACAAAAACTTTTAATTAGCAAATTTTAATCTAAATGTTTCGGTTTTGGTATCGTTAAAATTAAACTGGGAAATTTACACTTTATTAATATATATATATATATATACACTGAAGAGCCATTACATTATGACCACCCTGCTAACAACATGTAGGACCACCTTTATCCCTCAAAACTGCTAGCACCCGCCTTGGCATTGATTCCACAAGGTAGTCTGAGGTTTCTGGTACCAAGCGCTCACCAACTGGTCCTGCAATTCCCTCACATTGCGAGGGGGTAGCGTGGCATCACGAATGCTCTATTGGATTAAGGTCAGGTGAGTTTGAGGGCCAAGACATGATTTGAAAGTCACTGGAATGTCCCTCGAACCAATCCATAACGATTCGACCCTTATGACATGGTGCATTATCCTGTTGGTAAGCACCATCCCCCGCAGGAAAAACTGTTGCCATGAATGGGTAAACCTAGTCTGCAACTATGTTCAAGTAGCTTACAGACGTCATGGATTGTTGCATGAGGATTATGGGTCCTAATGTGCACCATGAAAACATTGTTCCTGGCCGAGAAACCATGAAAACCTGGGCGAGCCCATTGTTAGAGATGGAGGGTGGTCATAATGTAATGGCTCTTTGGTGTATATATATACACACATAATTATAAGAGAGGCACATAGATAAGCTATATGTCAATACGTATTTTCTTTTCAATTGATTGGTAGTTGTTACTTTTATCATCATATGAACTTTATTAAAAATTTTAATATTTTCACTTACCATCCGAGATAACCATTGTAACTTCTGAACCGTTGTAATTAGCTTTTCGAATTACTTTTAAAGAAGCATCAGCCCAGTATATTTGCCCGAGCTTACAATCAGTGGCTAATCCAACAGGCGTTTGATGAGGCTCCATCAAAAGCAGTTGTCCCGGATTACTCTTGGTTGGCACGGATGGTACTCGAAGAAGAGACATACCATGAGCAAACACCAAATGTCCACCACTATGATGTGCTAAAGCTACAAAAAAAGAAAGAAAAAAACATATGTATTAATAGCCATTCTATTTCAAGTAGACTATTATCGCGTCCATCTTAAACACTTAACTTAAGTCATCTAATAAATTACCGATTTACATCAGTTTTGAGATGTCGGCATGCTGTTTTGAAACATTTTAGCATCTTCAAAGATTGTGAAAACAAAATTTTATTACTTATAAGAGCAGGGTGTTCCATAGTGACCCGCTCTTAGTTTATATATTTAAAATCCTTATCAAAAGGGAAAAAGAGGACCAACTTTTGACTTAATGATTGGATCTTCACGTTCTAGGACTCAATCTAAATGGTTCGAGGATGTGATCTGAAATATGCTAATTAATTAGTGCAGACGATATTTTAAGTTATGAAATCAGACACAAAAACGAAATTTTTCTGAATAAACATACGATGGATTCAGATTTCTGACCCCCAAAACATAGCGGGTAACTTGACCAAAATATGGTCCCCATAGTTTGGTCAAAAGAGCGGTCTATTGACCTTTTAATGTTAACTTTACTTATTGCACACTTCGCCATATTTCGAGAAATTTTTGAGCGAATAGAAAAAATTTTGCACACAATTATAAAAACTGTTTAGCCAAAGATAATTCAATGCAAAAAAATAATAATAATAAATAAGTTTTATTAAATATTTATTAATTTATTTAATAACAGTCGAACAAAATTTGAATTGCAAGGCATGCAATTTTTTATATCATTTTAAATTTTCTATGGTAAAATACAAAATTTGAGCGAAATCGGTTAAATGGTTCCTGATAAATGGAATTTTAAAAAAGTCGTATATTTAAAATTCAATTGAAGTCTGTCGAATCACTGTTGAGAATGTTCGGCCTTAAATTCAGTTTGCCTCATCACTAGAGGGCGCTATTATTCATGTTCTATTTTTTCTATTAATTTTGTTGTTCAGTGTGTGTGTAAACAAAGAGGAATAAAGTTAGGTTTAGAAGCGCGTGCTGTTTCTTGCATCGTCTCATCAGAGAAAGAAAGGAGGAAAAATATCAAAATCAGTTTGATTGTCTAATAAAACTTTGAAGTGCGTCGAAATGTCACTTTTCACCCCATTCTGTTTTCGCCAGTTCTCAAGCCCGTTTGAAAGTTTTCTGCCTCGCCTAACGAAATAGGAATTATTTAAATTTCTGAGGTGCTTTCGGTTTTTCTTCCGTTATTCATTCATTTTTGACCACTTATATGCAAACTTTTTTGTTTTTATTTTCACTAGGTTTCTAAAAATATGTATTAAAGGTAATCCATGCGGAACATTTTGGATTTTAATAAAAAAATTTATATATTATCTTTAATATAAATGTTTTTTTTATTTTTAAAAAAATATGAAATTTTTATAGTGCAACAATATCGTGTTAACTGTCTATTACGCGAAATTTTAGATGCAAAATCTTTAATTATTGCTAAAGTTGAACAATATTTTTATTATGTTGAAACTGATCGAAACTGAACAACTATCGAATCGAATGTTTATATAGTTTAATAGTTAATATAGAATTAATTCAGCAGGTTTAGCCATTTGTGTCTCAAATTTTATCAAAATTGGCAATGGTGGATTTGGAATCACAGAACATCTTAATACGTGGAAGATTTACACAAATTTATGAGTCGTAAGGAAATTATATGCCTTACCAGTACAGGACAAACCATCTCCGATAAATCCTTGTAAGCATCGACAATCATATTGTCCACTTGCGTGATTTGGAACACATTCTGCGTTTCGATCACATTGATAGCGATCTTCTACGCAAGATCTAGCAGCTCGACAATAGTGACCATCTCCTTCATAGCCAGATATACATTGGCATCTGTGAATAATAAAAATATACGATGCATTGAAATCTATAAATATTATAATCTACAAGTAATGAATCTCCGTAAAGTTAGAGAAAGAGAATCTTTACTCGAACTAGCATTATTTTATAGTTAGTGTTTTTATAGTATTTCCCGTCACTATGACGATTGTTGGTTTCAGGTATTTCGTAAGAAATCATTTTTTTTTTTTCTTTAGAATATCTGTGTGTTTGTCTAGTTATTTTATTTTCAAGAGGTAATTTTTACGATTGTTTACTTCATTTTTTAAAACGTATAGGTTCACGAAGTTGTGGAAGTTGTTATTATAAATGATTTTCGATTTAGCAAATGAAGCGTATAAATAAAATCTGCGCACCGGTGAATAAGCGATGTAATCTAATAATTAATGGGGAAATCAGTAAATGATCGAATCAATAAATGGTTGAATCAATGAAAACGCTAAATAAATTGTAAGTAAATTAAAGAAATAATAATATACAATTTGTAATACAGCTGTAGACTGCACAATATTTCTTTAATACTAAAATGGATGATAGAAATTAATGTATCGCAAATATTTCAAAAGAAAAGAAAATTTTATCGGAAAAGTTAAAGTAGATTATTCCAAAAAAGACACTAAAAGATTTAAAAAAAATAAGCTATTCCATTTTCAATAAAAAAAAAGGAAAATTATGCATAAAAGTTGTCTTCAGCCGATTTAAAGTGTTAAACTCTATAATTTATTGAAAACATAAACAATCAACTATTAAATGAGAAAATAGGGATTAGAAAGAATAACGGAAATAATACCTTTATACATTTTGAATTACAGAATCTAGAAAAATTACGAAACAAATGAAGTTCTGTTAAAATTATAACAAAATTTTTATATATCCTTGGTTTTGCTTACATAAAAAATTAATTTCGAATTTGTGTCTCGCTATGACGCAGTTATACATTTTGTGATAAAAATCACATACCTGTATCCTCGTGATGATGGATCATATAAGCATTCTGCTCTCACGTGACAGCTATTGATGACGTTACATGCTACGGCAGTTTTTTCACATCTATGTCCGTCTCCTTCATAACCTGGATTGCACTGGCACCTGTATCGTGAGTTAACGTCATCATAGATGCAACTTGCACTTTCATGACACGTGTTTCGAACGTTGCACGATGCTTCGGGATCTGGGAAGCAAGTGCCTCTGCCACCCCTGCCTTGGTATCCGGGAGAACACTGGCACCTGTATCGTTGAGTAGCTGAGTCGTAGACGCACTGACCATTTGCATCACAGTTCTCAGCTGTATTACATTCGTCAATAGGATCACACGAAAAACCATCTCCTTCATATCCCTATCAAAAAGAAATAAAAAAAAAACATCCTTGAATTATCCCCCAACCTTAAGGCAAAAATTATCTTTTCGTTTCGGTTGGCATAGAAAGGATGACTAATTAATTACTTTTTAAGCTTAGTGGAAATATAAGCATGCCAAACTTATTTCCTTAAAGATTTAATAAAGGTATGCAAAAAATATACGAAAAATTATCATTTTTCAGCTTTTACTGACAACTTAGATTTGTCCAGGCTCTCATATGCAACATTTTTTTTGTGTTGAAAACTTAATGATCAGGCCAACCTTTACGTTTAGTGTTAAAGAAAGTACATAAAAGCCTGCGCAAATACACCTTGTTTTATTGGTGGTTATAAAATTTAAGATAAAACTTGAGAAGGTGAATTTATCCTTGGTTTGAAAACGCTTTCTAATCTTGATTGGTGATTCATCCTCGATTTCAAAAGGTTTTTCAAGCCTTATTTTGTAAAGGAAGGTTCATTCTCGATATAAAAGGGCTATTTATGCAAGCTCAATGCGAACTTCATAGCGCATAAACTAGCATAGTTAATTTAACATTATTTCAAGCTTTACATGTTTAATAAAATATTGTTGCTGACATTAAAATTAAATTTATATTGCTATCTGGAATAGGATCAGGACATTGATTGAAAATATTGCTTAAGGAGCTAGAAAAAGGAAACGATAGTAACTCTTCTTCATCAAGAAAACGCATCTCATCTCACTTTGCTGCTGATTCACTAACTTTAAGCCAATGAAAGGGACAGAACCATACGATTTCTGAGTCTTTCTAAAAGGAAAATGTTTTGACGCCTTTTCTGACAACTGCAGTGCAGCTGAAAACCCTATCGACAAACGCTATAAAGTAAAGAATAATTCGAACTTAGACATTTTGGTGAAAGCTAGGCTGTATCAGGAAATCTTAGCATTAACCAGACTTTAGGTTCTTACCGAAACAACTGTAAAAGCCGGGTTAACACTAGGTTTTACTGGTAAAAAATAGGATTTATTAAAGTAGCTTGGTAACTACTAAATTTGCCGATAAGTCTTGGTAAAAGGCAGAAATGGATTCATAAAGCATACTTTAGACCTTCACCAAGCCACTGTGGTAAAAGCTAGGCTCTACCAGTAATACTTAAGATTTACTTGACCTTGGGCTTTTGCAGTAACACATATAAAAAGAATGAGAGAGAAGTAAAGATACCTCATTACAACGACATATATATTTTCCAGAATATTCTTCTCTAATGCATTGCGCATGTGGGGAACATCGATTTATCTGATCGCATGTAATTTCTTCCTCTCGATGGCAATTTCTACCGTCTCCTCTGTACCCAGCATTGCACCTACAGTGATACCTGTTCGAATTGAAAAAATATAATTCGATTTAATATTTTCAAAATAACAGCTAATCGTTGTAATACTATACTTTTACTATAAAATCAATATCAAGTTATCTAAATAATTGTAATATCTTTTCTTCTTTTTTGACAGCATCGTTTTAATCATAATTTTTTATTGAATTTCTTTCATTAATTATAAATACTCTAAGATCACCTTCTACATATAGCCCGGATTAAATTAATTTTTTTTAATACTTTTAGCTAAGTAACATGTTTTTTCACCCTATAAATATTATTCTATTAAAATCCTGTAGTTATCCTGTAGCAAAAAAGATTGAATATCTTTTGTTATTATAGAGTTAAAAAATACATATAGGCTGTGCGCGAAATGAAACTTTTATCTAATGGTTAGAAATACGGAATACCTTTGGTCCTGTTGGTCGTAAAGGCATTGTGCAAATGGATGGCAGTTGTTAACGACATCACAACTTGAGAAAGATTCTTCTGGTAAACAGACGTACCCATCTCCCGAAAATCCTGGCTTACACGCGCAATAGTAAGCTTCACCCTCGGCATCATACAAGCAACTTCCATCAGGACTGCAATTATCAGCAACATCACAACTGTCTTCAACACACACAATACCATCACCTGCAAGAGAGAAAATCTTAATTTTAAGCGAAAAACCATATGGTCATTAATTACTTGGTAATAACATTGTATCATAATTCTAATTAATTATTGTAACAATAAATTTACTTAGGCAGGAATAACTAAGTTTTTGGCTCCGAATAGGTATATCTAGCTAGAATGATTGTTTTTGATTTGTAAACCATACAGTCATAAATTACTAGTTAATAACATTCTATCATAATAATAATTAGTTAATGTAAAAAAAAATATTTTTGAAGTTATAAATAATTTTCGGCTCCGAATTGGGATATCTACATAGAATACTTGGATTAAGGTTAAATTCAGTCATTAGACTGAGATATAGAAGACGGAACACAAGTATTTATTATACATAAAGTGGGACAAAAGAAGATGAAAAAACATATTTTTCGGTTGTTTTAAAAGTAAAGAACAGTCAGTGCATTTTTATGCGAACTTACTATTCTTGGTTCTCAATGACCAGTCACAGAGGACGTGAGAAGATCTTGTCCCCGCACTTCAAATGGACAGTTCTCACAACTCCATTTCGCCCAGGTATTAGTTTGAGAACAAGAGCTTTGAAATACCCTACTAATACCTGGGCGAGATGGAGTTGTGTGAGAACTTTTTTAAAACATTTACAGTGAATGAAAAATCAAGCTATTATAGATGTGTAAACGCATCTATCTCAGGCAGTTACACTTTTATTGTAAATGAAATTGTCTTTAGAGGCAGAAGTTAGTTTTAATGTGAAAATTTATAATCTAAATTTAAAATGATCACTATCTAGAACAAACAACTGGGATATTTTCTTTCTTTTGGAAGGGTATGTATTAATACCGGATTCGACAAGACAAACTAGAGAGAAAAAAAAAACCATCCTCTCCCATGAATTCATTGTTAATCGAAGAAACATGACTGGTAAGCTCTGTGCAGCATTTTTTTTTCCAACTCGAGTAAAGGACAGTCACCTTCTGCAATTGAAAATCATGCTACCTTGCGTTATTCTGTTCTACAGGCAACCTTCGTAGAGTGACTGAACATTTATTTTAAATGTCTTTCGTCTGAGATGCACTATCCTCTTTCCTTTTTTAACCATGAAAGGAAGCACTTCTATTGCTATCGTATTTCTGACGAAACCACATGCGTAAATTTTCCATTTGGACAACCTCCATGAATAAATTTTCTTTAAAAAAGTCATTTTGTATGAAATGAGATTATCGTATAAAGGAAGGACGTTTGGGACAAATTTGTTAAGCATATGTTTCGTATGAATTTTATTCTATCCATATTCCGAATAAACTTTAACTACTGAAATATTGTGTAGTTGGATTGCGTATGAAGTGATTTTTGTGAATAACACGGTAACATTCTACTTTATTTCGAATAACGTAAGAACATTTCGTTTGAGTTGATGAAGAAACGAATTCTTCAGCTTCTTATAAACATGAAAGAAATTTTTGTTATGAAATAAGTATAACAATTTTAATTACCTGTGTAGCCTCGTCGACAACGGCAAGTGTGTTTATTCGTTTCCTCCTCGTAAATACACTCTGCTCTCAAATCACAATAACTTACACTTCTACAGTCGCCACCATCAGAAACTTCACAGGTTTGGCCGTTTCCTACATAGCCAACTCGACACCGACACTGAGGTCCTCTCAATGGTTCATCAACACATTCTGCATTTGGGTCACAGTTAATGTCGGAACAGGATCTTCTTCCTATAATATAACCACAAAGTCATAAACCAAGCATGATTACGTATTTTAAAAGCTAATTTCAAATCGTTTTGAACCAGAAAAAAATTGTTCTTTTATTCTATACGTAAAATACAGTGCTTATCATGCCATTCTTAGCATGGTATACTTACGTTCACACGATACTCCATCTCCGTGATAACCCGCTTTGCATCTGCACATGAAAGAACCTGGCAAATTAAGACAGTCTGCAAACACGTGACAGTTGGCTCGGCCTATAGCACACTCATCAATATCTACAAAATAAAAATATGTTATTTGAAGGACTTTAAGAATATGTAATTCAAACCTCATTATTCAACTTAAAGTTCAGAATTCATAGATAATACTTTTGCCTGGTTTAATAGAATAATTCAGCATATAAAGATTATTATTGTGCTCGCATGTTTACTATTATTAAATGTACGCGTTTATTAAAGAACGTTTTAATGTAAATGTTAACTGATCTTATTCAGTCTGGCTATTCTTTAGATTTATTTTCTAGGTTGAATGTACACTACCAGATTAAATACTTAAATAAGATGTATATTAGATTCGAATTAAGATTAAGAGGTCCCTCGACTAATTTTTGCTTACAGCCCCTGATATGGATGACTCAATTAGAATCGAGCTATGTCATTGTGTTCTGAATAAGCATCTTACAAATATATGCATTCGAATAATGTTTATCAATGATATTACAAAGTAACTACGCCTAAAGTGGGTCTGTCAATCAGTAGCCATTGTTTAGACTTGTAATATTCATTTATATTGAAATACGTGCTATTTAGTTAAAACATTTTATTATCTTATTTATTTATTAATTTTTTTTCACGAAAATTGAAAGTTTACATACCAAAGCATGTTGGACTTCCTTCCCCTGCGTCTTGTTCATAAAGATACTGGTAACCTTGATTGCAAGGACATCGGAAGGAATCACCTTCAACTACGCAATTGCTGTTTGGACCACACTGGTGACGTCCTTCTTTGCACGGATCTTCAACTGAAATTTTTAACGAGGACATTAATCTTACAAACATTTGGTGATTTGCGTGTATTATCTATTAATAATTATTTTGACACCTGTAAAAAACACAGAACTTATTCATATTCAGTAGTTGGCAAAGCCTCCGCAAGAAGCAAAAACGTCTTCAAACCTCCAGGGCATGCTTTCTAGAAGTTCTTGTATGGCAGCTAATATTTTCTACCACTCGATTAGGAGAAGGCATTTGAGTTCTCCCACCTTTTACGAACCGTTGTTTCAGTCCTTAATTCGGTGACCTAACTCCTCTTGGAGGTACTCAAGTAAATTCAGATTTGAGTTCTGTACAGGCCATTGATATGATGGCAATTCATTGCCATCATATCAGTTTAAGGTGGACCCTGTTAAGTAACACATCTAGCGCTGTCGTTTTGAACGAAACATAGATTTAACCAAAAAAAATTCACAACTTTACTACTCCAAGTTTGACTTTGTATATTAAACTTAATTTTACCTATAAAGAGTTCAGAAGTAAATAGATATAATAATTGGTCTTCTACGCATTTTATAGCTCATTTACGATTAAGCATAAAATAACAACTCTAAGCTCTCGTTGTTTACACTCTGGCTGTTAAATTTGATAGTCAGATCCCTCTTTTGAAAATAAAGCCAGTCCCAGAAATTGTAACGAACTTTAGCAAAATTTGTAGAGTTGACTGTTAAATTAAACGGCCAGCTCCTTTATTTGAGAACGAAATCTTCCAAGCATAAAAATACCTTCCTTCAAAAACAAATTTCACAGTAAGCAGTCTTTTATCCAGCGGTAAAAAATTTTATTGGACTAATTATACATATTCTGAGTTCAATTATTTGAGTCTCACCTGATAGAGGAGATATCTTATTCGTCATAGCATATCGGACTATTTGTTCCTGAGCGTCGTATACAATAAAGTTCCTTGCTACTTTCAATCGAGTGCTTGACATCGGAACTTCACATTCGGTGTAAGAGATGGTTTGGTCCAAGGTAAAGGGTACTTCAAGACTGTTCCCTTCTAATCTATAAGATCTCGATGAATGTGAACGAATCTGCCCTGGAAAAGCATTATGTACAAAATATTAAAAAGTGAAAACTGCATTTGAAACTTATTAAAAATGGGCACAAAAAACTGCTTTTCAGAAATTTTGTTCGGATGAGCAGAAATTTATGGTAACGCTTAAAGTAAGAGGCCGCTTCATTCTCATCGGATACGAACGGAGTTCATGTTTTTAATCATTGATAATTAGTTTTCACTTATAAACTGATAATTAGGTACTTGCAAATAGAGAAGAACAATACCGCTGAAACTGCTAAGTTGTGCGTTAACAGTACAACTATTATCGCGCTGAATTAATTTTCGGAATGCATACCAAGGACGTCACGCGTGTGTGTCGAACTTGATTGGCTGTTGAATTGTGGTGATTTGCTACAATTTTCCAAAACGTGACGTCATTTACAGGTATCCAATTATAATTTACTCTACTCGGCAGTATCTTTTCCACTCAATCTATCAGAATCAGAAAAATATGATAATTTTGAACTGAAAGTTTTTTTTTTGGTTAAAATTTTGCTAAAACAATTCTGCAATCAGAATTTTCAGAAAGGTAGATTTGTATTATACCTTTTCTGTCTTTGAAATTTTATAGATCTCCTTGGTAAAATGTATAGATATGCTTGGAATTTTTTCCTAAGCAAAAGTAGATAATAGCTAAAGTTAGCTTAGCTTAAGGTAATGTAATTAATAAATTTGCTAATTCTGATTTACGTTAGTTAAATTATTTATTATAAGCATATAAATACAGATTTTTATTAGAATAAAAAGAAAATATGAATTTTAGCTTTCTTTACCATTTAATTCTGCTAAATTTGGTTAAACATTTTTTTTTAAAAATGCTTTGAATTTTTGTAAATGCTTATGAAGCAAATTAATAGCAATAAATTCTTCAATAAGTATTTTTTTAATATAATTGTAATTTTAGATTGAAAAAACTTACTGATATCTGATACTGAAAACTTACTGATACTGAATAAATTTACTGATTACATAGGGGAAAAAAAAATTTTCCTGTTGAATGAGATTTTTTAACGAATTTTTTATATTTTTATGTCGATTTCAATTATGCATTCGGTTTGTCTTTTCAAACCCCAGTTATCAATACCTCTGGGGGTATTGAAGTGGAGATTGATCATTCTTTCTTTCAGGTCAAAATTACGATCTGATGATAACTAAAGGGGTGTATGAATGGGCTCACCCTCTAAACCAGGCTCCAGACGTGTATGGCTGAAATCGTATTGGTCATAGGCACCGCTGAAAAGCAAGAAACGCACCCTATGCCTCAAATTCGCTTCGTTTCACCAAGCAAGCCTGCTGATATTTGCACGTCCCATTTGAAACAACAACAACAAGCTCCATTTTTTTTAAATGATGTTTTAAGTCTATTTTTTGTTAAAATGTACAAGTTTAAAAACGTTATTTATAACAGGGATACAATAAATGTTACTACAAAAATTAGGACACATCATCAGGAGTAAAATTGCATAGAAATCCATGCTCGGAAATGTCGTCATACGCTGCTAGGAGCGTTTCTCTATTATGAACTATTTCTACGTGAGCTTCCAAACAGGTTATAATAGAAAAGTTTCCCTAACCTCGAACGATGACATTTCCCGGCTTGGCATGGGTTTTTACAAAATTTTAATTCTGATAATGTGCCTCAATTTCCCAAGAAAATGAATCCCCACACCTGAATTAGGCAAGATCAAGTATTTATATAGATGCCCTCTAGTATAATACACAGCTTTTTTCTTTCTTTTGAAAATGATGAAATAAGAAAAGTTAAATTCTTATAATTCATTAATGAGATAAAAACCTGGAGAAACTCTGGTGTATTCTTCTTCATAATCTGGAACTTCAATTTTGGAACCTACAGGAACAGACGGTACACTTCCTCTGAGTTTTACTTGAACTCTCATGTAGTTGAAAACATCGGGTCCCAAGAACGTTTCTTCAATATAAACGTGATGACCTGATTGAGGAAAGTCAACTTCAACAGTTCTGTTAAAAGCTCCACCTGTAGAAGAAAATAATTTCCTTTTCAAATTGATTATTATGCTTTTCATAGTAAAAACAGTAAAAGAATACTGTAAAAAATGAAATATAATATATATTTTAAGGACTGCATTTTAAAATATCATAAAAAAGGAAAAATAATGTTTTTTTTGTCTGACCTAAAACGAAATCCGTTTCACAATCAGGAAATCACGTCTTTCATAAGTATCTTTAGCAATTTCGATCCAATTTTCTCAAGTTACTTTCGAAAGTTGCGGCTGTTACTTTCTGTGGTGATAGAAGTTAAACTTCTATCACCACCGAAGGTCTGACGCCTTTTAGGTCTCGCAAAAAGATTATTATTTTATCCTATTTAGTATACCTAAATGCGTAGTTTTAAAATTTTTTTTTATTAGTTTCGTGCTTATTGGTTTGTTTTGTTGGAAAAGTGTCAACATTTTAGTGGCCGAAATTTCGACATGAAGTTTGCTTGTTCGCGATCGTAACGCTCGAATATGCCTTCTGGGGAGCAGACCGGTTCCATGTATTAACACTCCTCCCCCCCCTTCCTCTCCTCTTCTTCTCAGTTGTATGCGATTGTTTTATTACGATATTTTCCCATTCCATAATATTTTTTATATTCAATTGCCAAAAATATTTTCTAAAATTTCCAGGAAGCTTTCTATTAGAACTTTGCTTAATGCAGTTTTTTAATTTCATATAGCTTCTTAACTTCAAAGTTTTTAATCAATTTGAAAATCAAGAGAGAAACTATCGTACTTCCTTTTCAAACGCTCTAACTATTCGAAAAGTGGTTAAAAATCATATTGACGATAAATTGTACAAGCTGTGGTCAAAAAATGGTTAGAAATTAAATTGTAACTAGGCACAGTGCTTCTGCTGAGATTTGAGCTCTCATTAGTTGGAATTTCGGTAGACGATAAAATCTGTTCGGCGATAATGTGATGAAATTTTGCTAATAGCTGTCAGAAAAAAATTTAAACTTAGATTAAAAGCAGTTTATTGGTTGCAAACGAGACCTTTCCGAAAGTGGTCCAAATTGTATTTGCAGAATTCCACCCTCACAAATACGAATGAGTTGAGTTTTTGAGAGGTAATTGTGATTTTAACTATGTAGCATTAAATTCGCTGACAATAAGGAAATAGCTAGTGATACCTGTTATTGTGAAACCGTTTGGAGCGTCACTTCTAGAAACTGCAAAAAGCCATCCCACGATTCCGCCAAAGGGTGTAAGCACTTGCAAATCTGAGCCAATGCCTGGTGGTACACGACTTACTGCAGTGTATGTCCTACCATCTTCTGTAACAATATAAGCATGAAGATCTGCTTCGTGTAGTGGTATATCATTAATTGTACCACTGACTTTTCCATTCATACGTTGAGGAGAATCTAAAATGTATCCAATAAAAAGGCAATTTTAGTTATCAACCAAAATTATTTTGTATCATTATAAATCTTGTGTTTTATTCTAGGTAACAATTGTTTTAATGTTTTACAGCCTTGTAGGGGAAATATTAACTAATCATCATTAATACACTTCCTTATAAATAGTGTAGAAATTAAAACAAATAATGCTTAAGTCATGGTAAAATCATTATTGTGACTACTACGAAAGGAAAAATCTTTTAAAGTTAAAGAATGAGATATTTTCATAAAATTAAATTGTGGGCCATTAAAACTCTATTTGATAGAGTATTCCTGAGTAGTCAAGAACATTTAGTATAAAAGTCAAAATAGAGACAATAAAGTAACTACTACGAAAAGTAAGCCGGTTGTAATAAAAGTAAATGAAGAATACTTTTAAAGTTTAATTACTTTTAGCATGGAATTAAAATTTGTCCAATAAAACTCTATTTGTTATCATAACGAAGAGGTGCCAAAAACACACAGCATAAAAATAAAAACCTTAAGATAACCACAAAAATTAAGAAATTTTAAAAGAATACTAAGTTAAAAGTACTTTTAAAGTACCTACAAAGATAGTTTTTGAGTGAAGTTAAAATGTGGTCCAATAAAATTTTTAATTATAGCCTAAACAAAGTCTAATTTTGAAAAATAAGATACTTTCTAATTCTAGACCTTGCTTTTTAACATTTGTTTGACCCTTTCCTGAAAATAAATTAGACTACCATCATCATTTATGTAAATTACATTATGTAGATACATGAGTTGTAAATAGTTTTAGTTAAAATAATAAAAATTTTAATAACCAGAGAATATGCTTTTCTTATATATTATCTTTAAAAAATAGTTTCACAATTGTTTTGGTATCACATAATTTATTTCATTAAATATTTTGAATTTAGTTGGAAAATTTAAAATATTGTGAAATTTATTATGAAGGGTTTGTGACAGTGTAATGATAAGCAACTTTTTCAAATTATCTTTCTATTAAAAAACACAACGTTTCCCATACAGCTCTCTGCATTGTTTCTCTGTAAGTTCTCTGAAAAATATTTTTTTTGTAACGCAATGTCATCTCGAGAAATTTTAGAATACCCGTCAGAAAACAATATTAAAGAAGAGTTTAAAATAAAAATAGCACTTTAAAAAGTGGCTTATCATTGCATTTTACCAAAGTCTTTATAAATATGATTTCATATATATTATGTAGTTCATAAATTTACTTAAAGAAAATGGCCCTTTCTCAGGAAATCACAGTGATGGTGCCTTAATTGAGTGTTAAACCTACTTTTCTCAACACAATTTCTCCCATTTCCAAAAAAGCTTTCTTTACAAATGCAGCAAAATCCGCTTTTCTCTGGATTATCGACGCAAGTCGAATGAGGTGGACAGGGCAGTAATGTGTCTGCGCATGTTGATGTTGAATGTCCATCTTGTTTACCATCCCCTCCTTCCTGAGAATCCATGTCTGGTGGAAGGACATTTCCTTCAGATCCAACGACGCGTCCGATGTGGAACAGCCAAATGCCTGCTTTTCTTGCATTGGACATTCTAAATATACGTAATCAAATTACAAATAACAATAATCAAGACAGATATACAATGTGTATTTTTCAGTTAACAAACATCTGTTTTGAAAAGTCACGGTTAATTAAAACATTTTTAGTTTTTAATTTTTTTTAAAAACCTTTTTAATTTTTTAAAATTTCTATTTTTACTCACACCAACTTTGACGAATGATGTGACTACTAAAACTGCCTGACTAATAATGAAATTTAATGTTACACCTAAAAAAAATAGATTCACGGAATTGTTCCAATTAGGCTAACTTAACTCATGCAAAGAACTAACTTTAAGAACTTTTTAAAACACTTTTAGAACTAACTTAAGCTACTGTGAAATTGTAAGTTGCTCACTTTTGTAGATATTGGCACCTTTTATTACAACATGACCCGCTGTACCCTATAATATTCCAACATTAAAAAGTAAATAATATTAAAAATGCATGAAATCTGTAACTGGTTTTTACTCTAGCACACCAGGGTTGCTCTACTAAGCCACATAATTAGATTTCATTAAGTTCATTCTTTGTTTGAGGGTATCTGTAATAATAACTATTTTTAATGGTTAAGATGGGCAAAAGCATCAAACGCGTTTACCCAAATGAGATTATTTGAATGACAGATGGTTTTGTTACTCTGCATTTTATTGGGAAAATGTATAGTGTTAGTTTCCATATAGAACATTTTAAATCTGGCTCATTGTGCTTACCTGTCGAAGTTTTTAGCCTGTTCTGTGCCCGATCCTCTAAGAGTGTAGAGTCGTCCATCTCCGGACATGAAACCTGCCTGTGCTCTTGCATCTGGCAAGTTAGGATTCTTTCCCTGACTTTGAATCCACTGAACGCCTCCAGTTGGATAGAGAAAATAAGCGTAGCTGTCCTCTCCATTTGATGCTATAACCACTTGAAATGTATTAACCTAAAGAATTTTATTACAAATAAATGTGTGGAATAAAATTCAAACCTCACACGTTATTTTGTACTGCTAATCCTAAAGTCATTAAGAAAACGTAACTAAAACTGGTTTGATCCCGAATACAAGTAAAGTGACTTTGACACTGTGTTACTGAGACTCGCTCATAATTATTTCAATCAATAAAAATTTTATCAAACTGAAGCAAATATGTCAGATTTTAATCTAAATCTAACTCCAAATTTACAAAAAAAATTTAAAAGTAACTACAGATACCTCAAAATTGTTTGTACTGATTTTAAAACTAAAGGAATATTGAAGCTGCATCACGTAAATATAGAGTCAATTTTGCCAAACACAATGAATAAACATTTTCTCAAGGGAGGACAAATGTGTAGAAAGTCATCTATCAAGCAGTCTATAGCTAAAACATGTTTACTTTATAATTAAATCAAACATTTCAATATCAATTTTTTTTTATTTAATTAAGGAGGTCTTTGCATTTTATAAAACAAAACAAATTCCGAAAAAAGTAATTCTCTTAAAATTAGAGAGTAATTTCTGTTTTATTGCATTTATTTTCAATTTTCTGAATATTTTGTTCACAATACTTCCTTGCATTTTGGAAAATCAACTTTTTCTATTTGAATTTGATACCAATGGAGTTTTTAAGTAATCAAGTTAATCTTTCCACTCAGTTTCTTGGGATTATTATTTTAAATATACTCAGTGTAAATAAGCACGTTTCAAAAGGAGAGCATGCTTAGAAACAAGTTTCAAAAGCGTAACTTGTAAACATGTGGTTTTAGATAGTTTTCAAAATGCTAATTCGATAGCGTCATCCATACGTGTCATCCACTTTGATTTTCAAAACTAACTTTGAATCAAAACTTAATAATTATTAAAGAACGAGCAATATAAACTGCCTCTGAAGCTCGTTTTTGATTGAAGCAAACATCACTTAGAAAAAAAAACGGAATCGTTTGTAACAATACATAATGCTAATTCTATTTAAAAAGTTTGATTTTCACATCTCCCTCCCTAACAAATAAATCTACTTATTGGACGATTTTTAGAACCGAAAAACTGAAATTTCCGCTTGTACCTATTGCCCAAATTTCAAGACCCATGCACAAACGTTTCGGGAGTAATAAAAGAAACACACGCCCAAACTCCTATAGATGAGTTATCATTTTAAAAATCAAAACTGTCTTGTTTATTAACATGCATAAATGAACTCCATTACAAAGTTGTTGAACAAATTAATTGCTATCATACTGTTCTACTTTTAAAAAAAAGCACCTTAATGCACCAAATCATTTTAAAGAGTCATAAATCATCTTACTTTGTCTGTTCTCTTATCATAATAGCCGACTTCATCCCAAGTGGCGATGAAGAGACTACGAGGTTGAAAAGTGGCAGCGGTTGAAAAATGAGCTCTTATATCTCGAGCAGCTCTTTCTAACAACTCTTCTGCTTGAGTCTCTCTGAAAAAAAGAAAGAGCAATTCACGTAAACATTTGAAATAAAGAAAAACCTTAGTTCCATTTTTATTAAAAATTTAATGAAGTGTTGTTTTCGAACTAAACCACAGTATCGAGCAAATTTGTTGCAATTTTTTGTTCAGTGACAAATCGGGTCATATTAATTAAACCATCCCAAACATTATTAGATTAAAAACTTCGATCGCTTAAAAAATATATAAATAGGAAATAACAGTCGGCATGTTTCAAGTGCTCAAAAACAGATTCCGATTTTCAAGTCTTGAACGTAAATGAGAAGAAACGAAAGTGGTTTCAAACATAAAACGTAGATTAGTCAACGAAAGGTGGAAAAATAAAAGCGAAAAACAGAAAACCGCAGAAGCCGAGAGAGGAAAAAAAATGAAAAACTGAACAAGAAAAAAATAGTTGCCAAGAGTGGTAAATCAGGGTAAAATGCAGTTCCACGCGCTATGGAGAGGTGTTGAGAAACTAATGTCTTTAACAAAGCAATCAGCATTTATACGATTAAAACAAGATTCCAGGACATCAAGATGAGCTGATGATGAGTGTGAAAGTAATTTTGGCGTTGTGAAATTGAATTTATGAGCAAAATCCAAACAATGTGCAGCAATTGATGATGAGGACACGTCTATCGTGTTTCGTAAGTTTAAATTTTAAAGCCCATCTTGTCGCCAAGATCATCCTAAACATGTTTGAACCTTTGGACAGAAATGTTTTGCAATTTATAAGGATTTTGCACACTATTATGGTTCAAAATAAAAATGTACTTTAAATCATTATAATAACGGTAACGGAATTTATAATAACTATATTATAGTTCAAAATTGAACACATTTTTCTGGAAGCGAAGTACATTATTAATTTGTACTGTACTAATGTTGGCCAAAAGAAAGTCAAAATTTAGGTACTTATAAATATTTTGGAAACACACATTATTGCTTGCGAAATATTTCTTCACTGTTTTAAAAGTCTGAATTAGTTATAATTGTTTCCTAAGCATGCACTAAGAACAAGTGTTCCAACGTTTTTTAATAATTTTTCTTTTCAGTTTATATTTTTTGTATTTTATGTTAATTCTAATGTAATTATTCGCTCGTTAAACTTACAGAACGTTTTTATCTCTCCTTTTTTTTTTCATTTCCAATTAATCAAAGCAATAATAAAATTATGCTTGATTTTTTTTTTTAAACTTAAATATCCGATGGATAAGTTTTAAAATGAATATACAACTGATGAGAAATTGTGAGGTTTATTTCCTGGAGTTAAATGATTTTTCAATCATTTATATTTAATTGATCTTTGAGAAAAGGAAAAAAACTACAATTTTTATCTCTATTTAAGGTTGAAAAATTTATTCAAAATGATGTTATTTCTACTCGTGACCTTCTCTTGACCTAATTTTTGAACTCTAATTATTGAGATATTGTTGTATAATACATCATATTTTGAAAAAGAGCGTCGGATTCGGGCAATCTAATCATGACCCCCTTTTTTAATTTTAATAATGAAGATAATGAAGTTTTTTATTATCAGACTCATCCAATTCGTTATTTTAAACTGTTTTTACTAAATCAAATTTGAAATAAATACGAATATAATAATTCATGCATTTTGTAAATAAATCAAAGAAAAATATTGAAATAATAAAAAATAAGGAATTTTTTTTAATAGTAAATACCTGTAATATATTCTTCCTGCACTTCTTACATCAATATCAGAGTACAATGGGGCAATGATTGGATAAGTGAGTGGAAATTGTGCATTAAAAAACGAAGGAACTTCTGTTAGAAATGAAAGCAAGCCATTATCGTTTACCTGAGAAAAAGAAGAGAAACATCGTTTAGTTAGAACATGAATATAAACTAAAAAGTTATAAGATTTTTTCTTCCAATAAGTTTTGAATAATGACAAAATTGTTTAGTAGTAAATATTATTAAAAAAGAGAGACAGATTTTTTTAATTCGATAACTAAAAGACATTTACACATATTTAAAACATTTTACAAACAGTTCGTATTTCGTCTCATATCACGTAATTACGAGACGAAATGATTCTCAATATAAACGAAATACAGCTGAATCGCCAAAAAAACGAGAGTTTTATTTCTGAGAGTATTCGCTTACCTAATGTCAATCTCTATCTTCAAAATATGTCTACAGACACTAATAGAAACACCAATTGGCACAAGAATCAGTTTTTGTTTAACTTTATAAGTGTTTGAGCAAAATAAGAAAAATCACTTTTCGAGTTTACTTTGGTGTCCACATTAAAACATGCATTTCGATGCCTGAAACCACAACAAAAATTTTCATATTGATTATACCAACAAAAAAATATTTAGATGTCTTTTAAATCATTCTACATAGAGAAAAAAAATCTGGTAGAATTTCAATACTGTATGGTAATGGCATTTCTGGTAAAAAAAAGAAAGAATTTTAGTTAATAAAACCAAAATATATGTTATTTAAACCATTTTTTGTGTCTATTTTTCTGATCATATGTCTATCTGAACTATTAATGGAAATTCTGGTTATACAAATTATAATAATATTTTCATGCGTGCAAAAAATAAAAATTTAACAATAAATTTAACCGAATAAATTATATTTATGCCAAGTTCTAAGGTATCATGTTAATATAACAAAATTTTACTACACTTTGCATTTTTATAACACATTTTTAGTGTATATATATATATATATATATATATATTGTTGTAANTCACTGCTTAGTCGGGCATTGGAGAAATTTTTTTTATTACTTTACAGTGTTATAACTAATGCAGTACAAAGAACTTTTTGGTAACCCTGACCAAAACTATAAAAGGATGTATAAAAATGGATACATATTTATTGCAAAATAATAATCTTTTATATATATATTAGAAGTGGAATCAAATTTCATGAAACTTAAAGTATTAAAGTTTCATGAAATTTAAGCATCGATTTTTTACAGTGAGGAATAATATTTTCAATTTCACCTTTTTTCTTACCCGTTTTGTTGGCTTCATCAAGGGAAATTCTTTTTAAATAGTTATAAATTTCAAAACTAAGTCAAATATTTTACAGAATTTACTCAGAAATTTTTATAAGTTTACGTGAAAAGCTTCTGAAATTTTATCTATCAAGGTGAATTTTATTATTTTTTTTTTAAATAATCTAATTTTTTTTTAAAAACTGCGTTTTAGAAATATTTTTTTCTTAACAGAAGATTTAAAATAAACAACTTTTATCATAATCCACTTTTAAACTACCTTGAGACTTTATTTACGTAATAGTTTATCGGTAGTCTACATTTTTTCCATTCTCAAATTGTTTAAATCCCGACACTTGTTGAAAATTGCTGATTACAATATTTTCTTTACGATAAATACTACCCGTTCAATTTTTTTTTCATTAATAAAAAGCAGGAGCTAATCTTTGCATGAGAGATAAGTATAGTATGTCAAAATTCAACAAACAGATAAGTTTAAGGCGGGTGACATGAGTGTTCGATTCACTGATTTAAGTCATTCAGTTGTTTTCTAAAGTCAAAGAACTTCACAGCTTGTTTTATCTTGAAATTATAGCTTCCTTATCGGAAATCAATTTTCAGGTATTTTGATAAGAATGCTCTAAATTAGATAGGTTCAGTTATAGGTTTTATGCTGTATTTCCTTGTCCTTGTTTTTGCCCACCCATTGATAACTCTTAATAAAAGTTATAGCAATTAGATAAGAAATAAATTATTATGAATAAATTTTTACGTAATTTTTTTCTTATCATCAGCATATGAATTCTCAATATAGATTGAAATTTTATACGAAGAACTCTTATGTACTTTTTCCCTTTATCAGTAGTATATGAATTCTAAAGTTGGAAAATTTTAAAAAGAGAATTCAGGCTTATTTTTTTCCTTATCAGCAGCGCATAAATTAGAATGAATAAATGAAGAAGAATGAAGTTTTATTCAAAATAGAATGAAGTTTTGTACAGTGCGAATTCATTTTTTTTATCACCTGCTTATGAATTCTCAAGATAGAATAAAACTTTATATAGAAAATTCTTGCGTACTTTTTCCCTAATCGACAACCTATGAATTCTCAACATAGAAGGAAATTTCATTTCGAGAATTCTTACGTGCTTCTTCCCCTATCAGGAGTGTATGAATTCTCCAATTGGAAAAATAAAGAGAATTTGTGAGTATTTTTTTCTTCATCAGCAGCTTATGAAATCTCAATGTAGAGTGAAATTTTATAAAGAGAATTTATACGCAGCTGAAAGAAAACTCGTGACCAGGCGTTTTCGAAATATTTACTCACTGTTGAATTGCTTCAACAAATATTGTTCATGTAAGCTTAAACTTTTTTTGATGAGAAAAAAATTAGTTTTAAAAATTGTTTTCCGAATTCTGGAACCCTGATTTGAACAACCTCGCCAAAAAACTTTTATACTGTTATTTTGAACAAATTTCATGCTGTTATTTATCAATTTTTTGAAAAAGCATAAAAATGTTTATACTTTCTCTTAATTCTAAAGATAATTATATAAGCTCTAAACAAATATTTCTGTTCAAAAAATTATTTACTTCTGTTCTAATTTTGAAAAATTGTGAGATTTTAATTTTAAAACAAATGACAATTTATTTTGAGTAAAATATTGACTTTAGATATTGACGAAAACTTCCATTGAAGCATAATTTCGAGATTTCTAAATAAACAATATATTCCTGTACATATTTTTAAAAAAATTAAAAAGAGTGGTTCTTTCATAATATTAATAAAAATAATAGACACTGCTTTCTGAAAAAACGAAGAAAAGGGTTAGTAGAGAAAACACAGTAATTTTTAACATTATGAAGTTTTGTTTCGCTAGAAATACGTGTAAATGCTGACAACATTTTGAAAATGCCGGTTGTTTTAAAAAGAATGTTTGCAAAGTTCTATTATAACGTGAAAAACGATTTTATTTTATTATTATTTTAAGCTTATTTTATCATTTTAGAATTAATTTATATTCAAGAGTTTATTTACCCATTTTAAAAAATAAATTGTTTCCTAGATTATTATGCTATTTCAGAGTAAAAACTTAATACTTAACAGAAATTTAAAAGCAACATAAAAGCATTGCATCGTAAATAAGGAATTCAATAGTTTACAATTTTTTAATAAGACATCTATTTTAATTTATGTTATACAGTTATTTATGATGAATTGAGGTGAAACAGATTAAGTAATAGTAAAGCTAGACTAAAGATTAATTAAGTAACTGAATGATTTTTAATATAAACTGATTTTAAAATACTATTTTTAATACAATTTATCTAAAAAATTTTACAAAAAATTTCTTAAACCTGAAACTAATATATTATTCCGTATAATTTCTTTTATTTCATAATAGCTCGTGATTTAAATCGAAACTTATCTTCTATAAACCGGTTATAAAATATAAATGAAATAATTTTAATTGTAAAAATTTTAATTCTGAATTTTTTTCAAGTTTTTAGCGTATAAATCAATTGACTATAAATTTATCAACTAGTTTTAGGTGTTAAGTAAATTTACAAGATTGTTTTACAATTCAACTGTTGACTAGAACATAAAAATAACGATTTTGTAAAATTTTCCACGACAACTTTAGCAAAAGATGCAGTAAATCTGAATGCATTCCAATACTCAAAAAATATATCATTCTCATAAGCTTTGAACATTATTTTTTAAAATCAACGTAATTCAATTCAGGTCACAAAATTTCAGGTCTGAAGGTCCTAGTCAGACTCAAAATTTTTTCTCAACACTAAAGTCACAAAAAATATGTAAACTAATGTGTTGTTTTAAACCGACAGGCCTGTGTAGAAGTCACGAAACTGGTCTTGCATCAAAAAGGTTCAGGGTTCGAATCCTGGTTAAGGCATGGATGTTATTTCCTTCTCAGTACTATCTGTCCTTACTGTGAGAGCAACGTTGGCCCACCTACCAACAGTGACCAACAAATCTGCCCTGTAATGTCTGTATGACGAAATATCACTGCTTAGTCGGGCATTGGAGAAATTTTTTTTATTACTTTACAGTGTTATAACTAATGCAGTACAAAGAACTTTTTGGTAACCCTGACCAAAACTATAAAAGGATGTATAAAAATGGATACATATTTATTGCAAAATAATAATCTTTTTTAAATAAGGTTGTCAGAAGGTTTTGATGATAATATCATCCACATACTATTAAAAGGCATTAAAATACGAAAAGTAACAGAAATGTTTCAATGCTATTAACACTTCATGCTTTTATACCACTGCCTTTTGACATTAAAATACCATTTGTCAAAATCAAAATAAATCAGGGGATGGATTTATTGAAATTCTGAGTAAATCTTTCGAGCTAATTTCAAAACTTGCGATTTCGAAGGCTTAGCGAAATTGCATACAGATATTTAGATATTTTCCCCAAATTTTGTACGTAAACACTAACTCAGGGAAAAATACGGATGATAGATTGTTTTGAAACACAAAATCGCATTAAACAAAATTTACACGCCTTTCTTAAACTTTCCGTCGTCAATGGCGAGTTGGCAAGTGAAAATTATGCTCCTGCTTAAATTGCATATTAATTTATAGTCAAAAAGGTGATTTCCAGCATAAAAAATTAACATTTAATTACATTTTTTTAAAAATTTTATTGAAATTAGCTGTAAAATTTTACTCAACAACAAAATAGCAAATGTTAATCATTTATGCATAAAAAAGACTCTTTTTCTCTTCTGTATTAGTTTAATTAACTAAAGAGATTAATTGATATAATAGAGCAGATACACTTTCCTCAAAGCAATGTGAAAAGGATAATAAATAAATTAATAAGCTGTTATTAATAAAACAAACTCCAATATAAAATTCTAAAGACGGTAAAATTAAAATTAATAGTGTTTTTACAATAACAATATGAAGTATTCTTATTATTATGTTATAAAATATTCTCTGTTTAATCAGTTTTAGTCTTTGTGTCTCAGAGAAATATAGATTTCTGTATTGTTAAAACCTTTAATACTATTTAGCAGTGGCAAACTTAATTTTAGGCTAATGCTTGTAAAGACAAAGGATGATAACTTTTCTAAAATAATATTATCCTTTGCCCACAACATATTATCCCATCCTACAATAAGGCACCCAAATACTTTCGACAGCAAAATTTAAAAATTTTTGTTTTGATTTATGTGTATATTATACACTAAAACATAGTATGAATACAATTAAAAAAAAATCGGTCAAAAAAGACCAAAAATCAGCCTCTTTTCAAAATCGCATAGCATTGTTGAAAATTATTATTTTTCATTATTCTTGCTTTATGATACTCATAAGAACTCAACTTAAGGAATAGAGTACACATTATACAGAATATTAATAGTTATTGTTTTAACAGGAAATATTGAAACTTATTTGTCTTAAAAAGGCCAAAAATTTCTATTATTTATTTCTGTTTTAACTGTAAAATATAAAATAATAGTTTCATCAACTAATCTGTAACCTAATCTAAATTTTGCATGAATATTTTTCTATGTATAGAAAAATATTCATGCAAAATTTCAAGTAATTCGAAATGAAATATTTTCAGATTATGGCATTTAAAAAAAAAGGAAAATAACCAGAATAGTAGTTTTCAGAAATAGAACAAAAAAGGCACTATTATCAATGTAATAATCAAAATAAATGATTTTTTTTTAAATTATCATAACTTCTATTCGACTTGGAGTAAAAACAAAATTCAAAAGATTTTACAAATATAAATGTTCATAATTTTATTTTATACAAAAAAATAGAAAACTGATTTAACTGTCAGTTTAAAAAAAATCAGTTTGATCAGTTTAAAAAAAAGATACTCAGCTGCCTTCAATAATAATTTCATGATCAAAGAATTAAAAGAAATGTTTTATGACCAGATTTCAAAAGTATCGATGGCAAAATTATTAAAAGTTATAAATGTTTTTGTCAAGTTTTAAGGTATATGCAACTTCAACAACTAAGTTTTTTTAATTTATGTTGTTTATCAATTTTAACATCAATATATCAGGTGACAAAACAAGTTTTTTATATATTTCCTTTCGTTCGTATTTTTACTTTTTTTTTAATTAAAATATTATACGCTTCCCAGATTTTAAATTCTAAAATGTTCACTTTATGTAAATAACAGCATAATTGTATTTTTAACGCGTCATAGTTAAGAAGAATGCTTTAAAGATGAATTTCTCAATTTCCATTAGATTTAATTTCGTCAGAGAATTTAACATACATCAATAAGCTTAAGCAAAAGTAAAAAGAAAATATCTGTAAATAGCACTTTTCCCCTGCCAACAAATCCTTCAATGCATATGCCTACTCTATTGTAATCTCAAAATCTTTCTAACAAAAATAAAAGGCAGAACTTTTTGTATTTTTTTTGCATCATACGCGAGAATAGGGTTCTGCAATCGAAGAACAGAAATAACTTCTGAAAATATTTCAAGAATACAATTACATTTCTATATTGTCATAAAAATAAGCAACTAAATACAAAATATTTCACGTTTAAAATAATTTTTTATTTCAAAAGTTTCTCCTATACACTATAAAGAAGTTCCGAATCAAATTACGGTATAAAGCACCGCCATTTTGGGTGCATCATCCGTAAAATCCATTGGTACCTTTATATGTTATACCATAAATATCACAATGATATTTATTTATTTAGAGTGATTCAGTGATTTTACTCTAATTATTACTGTAAGACGGTATATAAGTTTACTGTAATATGTTCCGATAAAAATTTATTTTACAGTAGAAAGTACCTGTATCTTGAATGCCGGTACTTTTTATCGTAATTTTTAACTGGAACTTTTAACAGTGTGTTTTAGTAGAATGAATAAAGTTAAATAGTGTTTGAAAAGGAGTTCTTTTTTTCAAAAAATATATTTTTATAATTATCCATATTTCAAGAGAAAGTCTTAAAATGTGGTCAATATTTAAAACTTATTTTTTAAAAGCTAAACTAAGTTCCCTAAAATTCATTTAATTAAATAAAACGAACGAAGGATATGATTTAATAAATTGGAAATTAGTGTTTTTATAATTTTTGGAATGGCATTGGAAATGAGGAAGTTAGAATCTTTGTCTAACATCAAATCAATAACAATAATGACTCCTAAATGTACAATGCAAAAAATTCTGGATTAAATTACGGTAAAAAGTACGTGCACTCAGGGTGCCGGTTTTTTTTAACCATAAAATCCCTTTTAACCGGAACATTCCAAGGAACAAAAAATCTGATTTACCATAATTTTTACTGAAAAAATTGCAGTGAACGGACTGAATCATTGTAATTAAATAGATATTACTGTAAAAATTGCAGTATAATATTTTACGGCAAAATTAAATTTTACAGTAAAATGTTTTTTACGGATGATACATCCAAAGTGTTGGTACTTCATAGCATAATTAGATCCGGAATTTTTTGCAGGGCAGTTTCTGCACATTTTTTTAGAAATATTTTTGCTAAATAGTTTTTTATTAAAGTTTTTTAATGTTTGCTTTTATGTTTTCATACTTTAATATAGTGATTTATTATCTTTCCAGCAGGCTCATGTATGAGATGGATTCACATATATGAGCTCACATGCATGAAACAACACTCGGATACATATGCATGCTATATCACAAAGATTTATTTTACTATTTTCAATTCTGAGGACACCGCAAAAATAAGTTCTTTTTCTGTAAAAAATTCCGGATCAAATTACGTTACTAAGTTCCACCACTTAGCGTACCACCCATTTCACCGTAAAATTCATTTTTACCGTAAAATATTAAACCGTAATCTTTGCAGTAATATTTATTTAATTTGAGGGATTCAGAGATATTATTGTAATTATTACTGTAAAAATTACATTTTATCAGATCTTTTGTTCCGTTATATATTCAGGTGAAAATGGACTTCACGGCAAAAAGTACCGGCAGCCAGAGTGTCGGCACTTTTTACCTTAATTTGACCCGGAATTTTTTACAGAGTAGTCTATTCCTCCTCCTCTTCCTCCTTATATTCTACATTCAATTGTCATCTGAAGTTTGGGAATGTATTTTGTTCAAAATGCATACGTTAGAAACACTTTATAAGCATTTGCTTTGCTCTATGCATTGCTCTTATGAAATAACTATGAAACTAATTTCTCTCTTATTACATATAAATTTAGAATATCTTTTTTAAAACCGTGAGGTATCTTTTTTGCCAACTTTTTTTGTGCTTTTTTAATAGTAAATATCTTTCTCTGTTGAGATATACGCAAATTAATTAAATTAAGATTGAAATCATATCAGTAAATGCGTAATTATTTATTTTTCTTATAATTACTTTTCCATTATTAAGGGAAAAATAATTAAATTACTTGTAATGATTTATTATTTTGTGCTAATTACAATATTTTTCTGATATTTATACTCATAAAAATATATATTTCATAACAGGAAATACGTGTGACCTTTCAAAATTGCATGAAGGGCACACATACAGGAAGATTAAAGTCACTGCAAATTTCAACTATAATATACATGAACACAATCATAAAACATAACATTATAAGCTTATCGTAACGTTAGAAACGTTAGTAAAAAGACTGCATTTGAAATATATACTTACATAAATAGATCGATATTCATTTCCATAAAATACAATTGGTACACTTAGGGGCACTTCTGCAGAGCTGACATCATCCAATGATTGCAAGTACTGCTCGGTACCAAACGGGAATAGTTCACTTTTAGGAAATGCGGTGCAGCCCCATAAGTATAGCAAAAGAATTACAGAAAAAAATTCCAGTTTTCTCGCAGCCATTTTGTCAGATATCTTAAAGGAAAATAACACAAATCATGTGCTTCTCAATGTTCTGGGGGCTTATCCGAAAGAAAAGTAAAGACTCTTGAGCAAAGATCGCGATTATCTTTTTTTCTTTGTTTACCTTATTCTCGACACACAAATCAAAGTTCTTTTGAACTTGTTGAACTATTCTTATTTTCCCAGAGAACTTTTGAAGAATTTTGAAAAACATATAAACGAATTTTCTGACAAATATTCGATAATAATATGTATGGATTTTATCTTGTTAATTGTAAGTTAGCTACGATTTAAAAAATAATATTTATTTATTTATTATTTAATATTTAAAACATAAAAATGTCTCTCATTCTGATTTGAAACATATGAAAGCCCTTTCTGGAAAACATTCGCTTAGAATATCCATGGAGTTTACCTTGATACTAATTATAGCTTAAATATTTCTTTAAAATAATAAATAAAGTTAGAAAAGTAATTGTTTTTTACACAGAAATTAGTTTTTTTTTATATTTCTTTGTTCCTAACTTACATTTGTGATCTGAATTTGTGTCGAATTTCACTAAAATTTATAATACAATTAGGAAAATTCCCATTTTAAATGAACTTACTCTCGCAAAATTCTTTAAATTTATATAAATTGTATGTATTATGTTCAGCTATGTTACCAGAGTTAAAAACTTATCTCATTATCTACTATCAGTATAGTGCGGCTTTGAGGAGAACTCCTCTAGACTAAAAGTTTGGGGCTTGTCTGCTACTATGGTAACAAGCGAAAGCAAATTTCTTATGGGGGTGAAATGGAGGAAAGAAGGTGTCGATTGGTTTACACACGACGACCTATGCCGAGATTAAGACCAAATTATTCACCCCACACCCCTATTTGAAGTGTCCTTTCCTCGTAACCATAGTACATGCTACGACGCGAGACGGGTGTCTGGAGGAGTTCTCTTGAAAGCCGCATTATACAAAAGATTTTGCCCCTTTTTTCCACCTCCGCCTCTCCTTTCAAAGCACTTGACAGGATTTTGTGGGATTTTAATGTGAAAGCTAAATAACTGAGACTTCCATAAACAAATTCCATCAAGTCCAATCTTGACATTTTGAATGTCTGCCTCAAGACTTAAATTGGATGGACTCTAGTAGTAATTTTGTGACCACTACTTTACAGAGTTAAGGCACTGAGCTATAATTGTGAAGTAACAGGTTCTATTCCCAGTGACGGCTTGAAATCCCGTCAGCTGTAGAACAATTGGTATCAATACATCCTGTCTGGGAAGTGAAGCTTGTAGGTGCGCAATGGCGTGACAACATTGTTCTGTAATGCAGTTGGTCTGACTAGCTAACTGACTGTTGCGGATGTTGTTATGATTTATAAGTTACTTTATGAATCATTTATGCATTATATAATGAAAAACATTTTTTGAAAATTATTTATGATAAAAAAAACTGGTTATTATAATTAAAAATTTAATTTTATGAGTAATAAAATCTTTTAATAGAAATTATTTTTTTAAATTTTTTTTTACTTTTTTATTAAAAAAAATTATTTTAACTGATTTTGGATATAATTGTTTTTGTTTCAAAAAAACGCTTTAAGACGAAAGTTAAAGCATATTAGCAAGTAAAGAAAATTTTTATTGATAGTTTAAAATTCATAGCATTCATAATTACAAAAATATCATTAAACTTTTTTTAAAAATATCTCTTAAATTTTGAAAAACATCTATGCTTATGAATATACTAAATTTGTTTCAATACTTGGGTTACCGTAATGAATCGAAGCAAATGTATCTAGTTAACTAGATCTTTCTGCATATAACATTAACTATTACGTTATCGATTTACATACATTTGGCATATTAAATTAATATCAGGTTATATAAAACTAAGTTCGAAATACATCATTCTAAAAGCTTCACATTAATGTTTTTTCTTTTATTAGATTTTGCCCATTATCGATACATTTATTTAAGTGTCAGAAATATATAAGTATCATTTATTTATTTTTATTTCTACTTCTCTTTCATGGGCCGGTATAGCTTGGCTGGTAGGGCGTTACACCCATGTCCAAGAGTTCAATCGCCTCCGGCGAACACTCAACGTGTAATAAATGGTAACTAATGCAAGCTAAATCAGTCTTAGTCACAAAGTCCTTCAAGTTCCTTTAACAAATCAATACCTCCGGGAGTACTGGATAGGAGATTAATTGTGCTCTGGTTCTGATCAAAATTTCGATCTGCGTATGGAGGGAAGGTGTGTGAATGCTTCCTTCCTGCTAAACGAACTGTGACGAATATGTGTGGTAGAAGTCGAATTCTTGTCCATAGATGGCCCCACTGGAAAACAAGAAGAAAATCTCCCCTCTGCCTTGAAATAAGCTTGTCAGTAGTGACAAGTTGCATAAGACGGCAACAACTTCTTTATTATATTTCTGATTTTGTTTGTAACACTTTTATATCCATTTTTTACGATGGAAAATAAGTTTTTTGTAATTTTTCACTGCAATTTATCATGGATAGAAAATATTTCAACTTGAAGGTCAAATTTTTTTTTGCGTTTCCATCAGTTTACTTCTTTGAAACCTCTTACAAAATCTCAGCTGAGTACAATAAAACTCTAAATAAAGTCCTTTATTTAAAGTTAAAGTTTTCTAAATTTCATCTAAAAAGTTCTTTTTACTTGCAGTTTTAGGCATAAAAAAGCTTTTATCCTTATTGTTTTAATAGTTTTTAAATTATATATGTATACTGCATGTGATGCAATTTTATAAAATTGTATAACAATTGTACAATTTAGGCTAACAAGATATTGTTCGTAAAACTTGATTTTGGTTTTGAATTAATTTCGTCACAATACTCATACGCTACACTGCAGTTTTAATATTATCACATTGATTACAATATATATTCTGGAATTTTTTTTCTTTCCTTTTCTCGAAATGTGCAGTTTTTATTCATTGTACAAGTAATGTTTAGCAGTAATACTACAAATAGCATAAATTCCCTAATCAGAAGGTAATTTCGTTATCTTACTTTTTGTATTGTATGGATCAGATGTTCTACTGAATGCAAAAATATATTGACTTATAGTAAGACAGCACAAAGAAATTACAATGACTATGTTAACAAAAGGATGAGCTTAACTCCGTCTTAAATGGAGAACTTATCCGTCTTATCGTGGATGAACGAATGTTTTAAACAGTTTCTCCCAACTATTCCTACGCAAACAATAAAGACGCCTTTTCGATAAAAATTAAAATTACATGGCAATAAAATAATCAATCGCCAAAATCTTAAAAAAATTTTGAAAATAGTTTGGGTTACATTTTCTTATTTCTAAATTAAATATTTAATAACATTTTATACAATGTGAAATGTGATTTAATTTGGTTTTGCAATAAATATTGTTCAAAAATATTGAACAAGAATATTGTACAAAAGCATTGTATAAGAATATTGAATTACACTTTGTACATAAATACTATACAGAGTTTAATTTAAGAAGTCCATAATCGATGTTTGCTAATTTTCATATTGTACTTTTCAAAAAGCACTTTTTTGTTGCACATTTCAAATTAGCTTTAATGGTTGGAACTTTAACATTTCCGTTTGAAATAAAATAAAAAATTAATTTCAAGCTACTTAATGTCTTTCAAAAACTCCAAATATGTCACCTGTGGATCGTCGTTGCATTCGTATTGTTGAATTCAGGAACTCAACGAGTTGTTTAATAGTGCAGTACACAAAATCAGGAAGAAAAGAAATCTAGCACACATGTTCAAAAACACAAATTTTTATAACTTTTGCTGTCACTTATTCTTTACACAGTTTTTGGTTTACAGAAATGGGACTTTTATCTTTGGAAAATAATAAGCTCTCTTAATTAAACAGTCAAGCCAGGTAAATTTTTAATAAAAATTAATAATTCCTATGCGTAAATAAGTAAATAGTTTCTGTACTTCAGTTAAACGATATTCTAAGGGAACTTCATTTCAGTTAAGTGATGCTTTTCCTAAAAGCGATACCGTGAAGAAATGTTTATAAATATTCTCATTTTTATTTATTAACATTCATAAAAAATTTCATGTTTGAAATTTTGAAGAGATTGTTGCAATTCTGTGTAAAAAAATTCTGTGCTTTTAATTGTGGAAAAAGAATAGAATGAGGATCACAAATTTTATTTGATATCTTATTAAATATTTTAAGTCTAGTTTTAAGTATACTGGTGAAACTAATAGCCATATATGGCAACGTTACTTTTTAAAAGTAGCGAGTAAAAGTACAAGTATTTTTAAAAAAGGTAACGAGTAAAAAGTAAAAAGTTCTTATTTTAAAAAGTAACGAGTAAAAAGTACAAGTAAAAGTACAAGTACTAAGCAAACAAAGTAACGATTTAAATGTAAACTGCTGTTTGTAGAAAATGCAACACCATGAAGGAATCATCAGAATCAAATGAAATATTATTTTAATAATGGATATAGGATATTATGCAAATTAATAAAGTTTCAGAGCCATCGCGCGTGCGTGGCGCGCGCAGCGCCCTCTGAATTGATGCTGAAAGCGTATAAATAAAGTGCTGTAGCGGGACGTTGAAAATAGTCTATGATTATTTGTTAGTGGCAAACGTTTAGTGAGACCTGAGTATGCCTCCACGACGGAAGAATAAGAAATTCAAGCAACTTACGGAGTTTGAACGAGGGAGGATAATCGGCCTTCGAGAAGGAGGATTTTCCTATCGCGCAATAGCAGCTCGTATGCAGCGGAACAGTTCCACAGTGATGCGAGTTTGGA